TGTTTGAAAGATAGTAGCCGATTCTGAGACTTACTGAATACGCATAAAAAAATCATAAGAATCGGTCAAGCCGTTTCGGAGGAGTATGGGAACGAACATTGTGACACGAGAATTGTTACATATTTAGATGATATTTTATGGAATTTGTATACCTACTGTAGGTCTGAATATATATCGTAATTTGTTTTTATATCGCTAAGTGAGTCCAAGGCCAATCTTTATTCATTTTTTCTCACAAAAACTACATACACAAGTGAGAGTTATATATATACTATAATAAATAAAAAATGGTCTATCTTCTATTTAGGGAAAATGCTAGTTACAGGTCATCAGGCCTCCACCACTTCATATCAACAGAAGATCTTAAAGAGTAGAGAAAAATTGAGTGAGAATAATCTATCAGTATTACATAGGCTGCAACGTTATCAAAAAAATATTTATAAGGATACACTTATTACACATATAAGGAAACCACATGGGGTAAGTGTGTGTGTGTGTGTGTGTGTGTGGATGTGTGTCTCTGTGTTAGTGTGTATGTGAGTGTGTGTTAAAAGAAAGGAACAACGTAATATTTATGATTTTAATCAAATAAAAAACATACATGAAACTGCCGAAGGAACTGAGACAAGTAATTTTAAGAAAATCATTGAAGGACGATATTTAAGGTACGTTCCCTTAATGTCCCTTAGTCTTGGGACGCCCTGTATGCCTCGTTATAGAAAATCGCGTTGTGTATTCGCGTAAAACAGTTTTTTTAATACGAATTTAATAAAGTTATTTAGTTTAATTTTATAACAACGCAATAGAAGGTACAAACGCAACGCAAAACTTATTATATACATGACAATTCTCACTTCATAACTTGATAAAGCGTGATGGGTTAAGACGGAAAAATTCAGCAAAATATCCTATCTACGATATCTAAGGTACTTTCCTTTGATGTCCCATAATCCCTATATATAGACCTCTTTAGGTCTTGGCCTCAGATTTCTGAATCTGTTTCATGATCATTTTTAAATTTAATAGGCAAGCAGGTAGTAGCCTCCAGTGCCTGACACACGCCGTCGACTTTTTGGGTCTAAGACATGTCGGTATCCTCACGATGTTTTCCTTCGTTCAAGCGAATGTTAAATGCGCATTAAGTGTCCATTGGTGCACAGCCGAGGATCGAATCTACGACCTCAAGTATGAGAGTCGCACGCTGAAGCCACTAGGCCAACACTGCTCATTACGGTAATACACCAAACCCTTTATTTCCATGTTTACCTGGTCACCAACAAACATTTGTATCCTTCAATACTTTAAAATAAACAGAACTACAGACCTATGTAGTCTCAACAAAAAACTGGCCTGCGCTCGCGTCTCCGAAACCCGTTTTGACACTATTGTGTATTAATTTTATTCGACTTCCAAAGCAATCTTACAACTTCACGTGCACTTCGGTTTCAATAATATACAAAGTATATTATTTTAAATAGAATATATTATTTGATCAATTGCCAAATCAGTAACGATAATAAAAAAAAACGTTTTATTACACAAACAACTATTTATATGAATTATGTCGTGTTCACAGTAGAAATAGTTTGTTTTCACTTTAAACATATTTTGTGTTGTTCAATCAATGTGTTAACCGTGTAACACACACAAATATATAGTATTTACAATATTCTTAACCTACATAGTAATATATATATTATATATATATAATAGCAGGCAAGGAAATGCCAGCATTAAAGGTGCAGTGCCACAGGGACCAAACATTTTTAATTAATATTACTACTATTTTAAGAATTTAAAAAAAAATTCACATGTTTCGAATATTTGATACATTTTATTAGTTTTAATTTATTAACCAGAATGGACTTTTAACCGACTTTAATAAAGGAGGAAGGAGGGAGAGGAGATTTTTCGACAGACATTTTTTTTGTGCTCGCGGATAACTTTGTCATTTATTAACGGATTTTGATTATTCCATTTTTGTTGAAAATAATATATCCCAAGAGTGGAATCCCATTGGGGCTCTTTCGAAAATATGTTCAAAATAATATTTGTAAAAATAGCCTTTCAAATGTGTGTGTTCACAAACATATAAACTAAAAGATGACTTAGTGAGTACTATGACATCCCAAAACATAGATTTTGACATATGGGTGTCCCAGTTCGCTAAATCTTGATGATAACCTAGTCGTTTCTATATCAATAGAACGTGTCGTATTTGATGACACGTTTTTTGAATAATATTAAAAATGCACGATATATCTTACGCGAGTTTAACATTTGGGACTGCTTCATTGCTTAACGTACCTGTTAGGACGAAACATTTATTTTTTTACCGGAAATCAAACCCAGGTACTACGGGTAAAAAGCCGTCATATATTTATTTATGACATTTTACTTTGCATAGCTGTTAAAGATAGTTGTATATTTTCAAATAAAAACCAGTTTTATACCGTTAAAATGTATTATCTACATGTGTGATCGCGTAATTAGTAATAATTGCTATGATTTTATGCTTGATAAAGATAATTCTAGGTTTTAAAATCTCTATACATCAGTATTTTTGCACCTGTTTTAGACATTCTTTTAATTGTAGACCCATAACTTATGGTTTTGCCGGGAATCGATCCCAGAAACTCAGAATTAAACTTATAGAATATGTATATCAATTTTTTATCAAAACATACAACTCTACTACGCATTATTTACTATAATTATTAAGTCTTAATTTACTAACAATTAGTATACAGTTTATACTTCAATATCATTTGATAATACGTATTTACGTTTATTAAGTGTAAATCATCACATCAAAGAACTCTGCGTCTGGCACAAAAGGCGTATCACCTTCAGACATAATAAAAATAAAAACAAATACAGATAACCTACAAAAAGATCGATACACGGTTCCCTCCAAAAAAACTTGTCGCATAAAAAAGGGGTTATGGACCTGTACGGGTAGAAAAAAGTCGAGGGAGCCTATAGGACCTCCGAACTGCGTACCTCCGTACTTATTCAGCCACCCCAAACGATATGAACCGGGGGCACCTCACCCCGCATTTTGTAACTAACCACTCGAATTCACCACTTACAATGTTTCGGTTGCCTTTCTTCCTCATACGAACATTGCCCGGCGTGTATCCATTTAACTATTTTAAACTACACAACACTGGTTTGTACCAACAATCCACTGATCTGACATTGGTTGCTTTTTTTTACCGTCGCGTGCCGCGTCGCCGGCGACCGGGTGAAAAACGAATACACTCACGTCTACACTTACACGATATATAATAACGTTTATTCATTAACTGTTTAACATTATTTCACTAATGAGTTTTTAAAAACATCTTTCGTTTTACAATCGCGTCGCGTCGCGCATATTGAGTTTTCGAGTTGTGTACGCACGAACCGTAGCGCTCGATTGTACTGGAGCTTGGAGCGTGGGGAGGCGCGGGGGAGCGACGCGGGGGGCAAACTGTAATGCCGACGCGCTTCAACTACTCTATCGACCTTTTGGACAGCTGGCAAGTTTCTATGTAAATTCCGTTGGCAGCGCTCTCATCGCTCCGTTTGGGAATTGGGTCTTTAATCAATAAAATAGAATTCCGTTTCTAAGTTTTATACCTCAAATCTTAATTATTTTCACTAATATATTTATTCAGAAACACTTTTTAACACACAGTTTTGTCTACGTAATGAATATTGATAAATCATTTATTATTTTTCCAATTTAAAGCCTGCCTATATTTTGTATTATATAGCAGCTAACTCCATCTCGTGACAATATTGGGAACAATATTTTTTTCTTACAATACAATCGTACCGAGTTGTATGTTAAATATTTGGGAGGATGTCATTGCAATGAAAACCAACTATTTCCTAAAATAATACTTTACACGATATACCATTCAAACGTGAAGTACTAATTTCATTGTGTTTGTAATAAATTTACGAACGTTTTTACACACGACACGTCAATGCTCAATTCCAATGATTTGATTAGTTGTCAATAATCGCTTATCAACTGACAGTTGTCAACAGTGTGACCAGATTTAGTAGATTTCTACTTTTTTGGTAGATTTTGAGGTACAGTCAACAGAATTTAGTATGTAAAAATTATTTGGTATATTTTAGTAGAATTCACGCTTTTCAGTTATTCTGGTCCTTTTTTTGGCATATCGAATAAAAGCGAGGTATTCCTCTTTCATCGATTGGATTATAACTATTTATTGTTTATTCTTTTCGTTACCATTCGTGCCGTGAGCATAGAGTGTGATGTGGGAATTCCTTTATTGAGAATTTATATAATCGAGTTTAAACTGAAACATAAATATACACAAGGATATCGCAATGAATAGGAGCAAGATCCCTTATTTAAAGTTGGTTATGTAAAATATCTACAAAATTTTACGTTATTTTTCAAAGTGATCAGACCCTTATTCATAAAATTGAAACAGACATACAAAACATGATGAGTTCCATTTTGAGTTGCTTTATGAAGATAAATTAAATATAAAAACTACTCCGCTTCAGTCAATAGATCTGACAGATGTATGTTCAAGTTAATGGACACAAAATTGCTTTATGACAATGTTACCCAACATAAAAGGCGAAAAATCTTTACTTTAAGTATCATTTTATACATTTTTGTTTAATTATATTTTTATTAAGAATTGAATTTAAAAAAAAACTTGGTTTCTTTTAAATTAAATTCTTATTTTTATTATTCTATCGTTTTATCAAGAAAACATTCATGTTTTACGTTGTATTACAACAGCAAAAAAATATAATAGATTTTCTTGTTCCTTTCGGTAGAATTCAGTAGTTTTTAACCTCCACAAGCAGTAGTTGTCAATAATCGCTTATCAACTGACAGTTGTCAATGTAGGATTTCCAAATTCCAATTACAATATTCCACTTAGCTGTATCATTTTTTAATTAAAAATAATAATTAGAAATAGTAACGTGTCAATTATAACTTAAATTATACATATCGCGTAATGCGTAAAATGGTAAAACATAGAAAGCCCAGCTCGCTAAGTAAACATAGTAGCAACATCGAAACAAGTGGATCCAGTACTTCAGAAAGTCAGCCGCGAACCCGATCATATAAATATGTATCCGTATGGAAAACTACGTTAGGTGTAATATGTTTATCAGTAGCTGTCTACATTGGTACCCTGGGGTACCTGGAAACCCGGGTGAATACTCCCTTTGACGGCGAAAAGGTAAGTCGACGCGCATTCTTGGTGCCGGCATGCGGACGGATTTCCATGTTTCTATTTAATCATCTACGTGTTGTAGTATAAGTGAGTTAGTTTTGTCAGTTTAAATATTGTCTACCTTTTACTTGTGACTTGTAATCTAACTTAATTTCATACCTTGATAGCCATTATTTGTAAACATGTAATGTAGTCACAGTATCCTCTATGACGCATGGATTAAATATATAATTAAACCAATATTTAATGGACACTTTCAAGAATAATATTTTTTTATGGTTTTCAAATTACAAAATCTTGATTTCCAAAAGTGCCACACAACAATGTCTTGTTAAACAGACAGACAATCTGTAAATCTTAAAACAGTTTAATCCAGTATTATATTAATACAAAATTAAATAATATAGGCAGTAAAAGAATCAGGATTAGATGTTCCTGATCGTTTTTGGGGAAGTTATAGACCGGGAGTGTATTTTGGTCTGAAGAGCCGTGAACCAAAATCACCTGTGTTTGGTATGATGTGGTATGAGTTGGGTACTGCTGTACAAAAGGGTATAAGGTTAGTAAAAATATTATTTATAAAAATTTAACATTTTGTTTTTATAACTTTGCTCTCAAGTCATCATTCATCACCATGAAACCGTTCATTAGAAATAGTACACTTTCAGACACCAACTACTTAATCCACAGTAGACTGTAATAAGATAACAAACTGGTTTTAAATATTTAATTTTTTTTAATAAACATCTTTTGCTTAGAAAAATCTAAACTTACATACAGTAAGTTACATAGGAAAAATAATTTTACTTTAAATTGGTCATACTCTTACAAAAAGTTGGTAAATCTGAGTTAATGTACTTCTTAATTGATGGAACTTTTAACATAACTAAGACTTTTTATTCCAAACCTTATTAAATTAGGGTAGCCTGGAAGAAATCACTTGTTAGCTATAAGGCCGCCCGTTGCCTAAAACTTTTGTAACCTAAACCTGTTTTTTATTTTTGTTATGTGTATGTTTTTGATTAAGGTAATAAAGTATAAATAAATAAATTTTAAACACAGCTATTTTAAAAATAATTAAGGCGTACATAGTTCACATTTAAATATTTATTAAAAAGCCCTTAATCAATTTCAGACACTGGTGTGAACAAAATGATAACTTACCAAGTTATGGCTGGATAAGACACGACGGCTTCACCTTTGGGGAGCAAATAATTTCTGATCCACCTCATAATATTGTGACTAGCTTTGTAAAAACACCAGGCGGAGAGCATGGTGGGCATTGGACTGCCAGAATTAATATAACATCTGTGGTAAGTTATAATTAAATACTTGAATAAACAACGGATGAAACACAATAATAATAAATTGTGCATTTATGATCTTATTTTTCGAAAAATGATCTACTATATTTTCAACTTTACAGAAATTCGTTAAATTAGATAAAGTTTAACAAAAGGCTTTTATTATCATAGACATGAATACAAATATTTCATTTTACCTTATTACTACGAAGATTATTATAGAATTTCATTAATTGTAATAGAATTATTACTATCATTGAAAAACGTGACGATTTGCTACAAAATTTCTCCCATACGTCAATAAAGAAGTTTCATTCCAACGCCCATAAAGAAGTTTGACTTCAAAAAGCAACATGGCGCGTAACCGAAAAATGTGACGCGTAACGAAAAAATGTTACACTAAATTTTTTTCCAACCTCGATAAAGAAGTTTCACTTCAATAATATTTTAATGACAATTAAATTCCTTACATATCTTCCTTTTTCCCCACCCTCTAAAGCTATCTTTTAACTTTTGTAACTTTTTTGAAAAACTAAAATGTTGACTATAGCTAACTTCAGGGTGTCGGTTTTTTGTGACGGTGCGCGCGCATCGTAAAAATTTACTCTCTTTCCCTAACGCGCCAAAAGAAGTATTTTTTTTGAAGTTATACTTATGTACGCGCGTAAGAAGTTATACTTCTTTGGCATTATTAAAAATAGTTGTTAATTGCATGCAAATAATTAATTACAATTAAATAATCAAAGACTGGAAAAGGAGTCATTATAGTCAATAAAGTTCAGTTTACATTTGAAAAATTAAATAAATAAATAACTATTATTATTCTCCTACATTACGCACCCTCTTTTTTTACATGTGTCTTTACTAAGGGTGAGATCTATAGTGCGCACTTGGACTTTGCTCAGACTTACCTTACGAAAAACTTTGCTTAGTGTACACTAAGGTTAAACTATGATTTCGTATTTATAGACATTTTAACGGTGAGATTAAGCTAAGCCCAAGCTAAGACAGAAAATGTCAAAATACAAATTGATGTTTCATTTCATGCAATACTTTGTTTATTATCCTTTAAAAAAGTTAACAATAACAAATATTTAAAAATCTAAAACGGTACACATATATCTTCAATTTATTGTTATTTATGTATTCATTTATTTTATTATTGCAATAACTAGAAATTCACGAGTAACCTTTAGAAAATGTATTAATTATTTAAAGATGACAATAATTTTATTACGTAGAACGGATCGCAATGTTTTGGTTAGGTTATAGTTTGAATTTCGTTGTCACTATAATATGCCAATTGCCAGGGCTGCCAGGTGACATACAAAATCACACCAGTTATTTTTAAGATTTCTCAAAAATGGGGTTTGAACAATTACATAAATAATATAAATAAACAACAATAAATACCATAATAATGTGTAATTATTTTATTTCATGCATTTCATAGGTATTTATCAAGATCATTTATAATTTCTTTGAATTCAAATTCTATTTTTCCCAAAGTCTATGGAACTCCGATACAAAATGGCAACACCGTTCATTAAAAACCGACAAAAATAAACAGTCCAGTAAAAGATATGATGGTAAAGCAAATTTTGGGCCATTATTTTTGTTAGGCTTATAGTCAAAGTTTTTGGTAAGTCGTCGATTTCGTGGACTTGAGATTAAGCTAAGCCAACACTAGGGAGAGATTCGTAGTTTGCTCTATAAATACCGACTGTGTCTTAGCTCGATAGTTAAGTCAGAGCAAAGTCTAAGTGCGCACTATAGATCTCACCCTTAGACATCATAGAACATTACAATCTAGCCTAACTTAAGACTAATAAGTAATTTAAGTCTAACCTAGTTTACTAAAAAGGATTTTTACATAAGAAAGTGTCCAATAACACTACTTACAGTCTCTATTAAGGGGAAGACACTCTTTTTTTCTTTCACTCACTGTTTATTTAATACTGACGTGCACTAACACTAATTCACTAGTTCAAATGGTTTTGTCCTTTTCAATCTTCTCACTAGGCCCGTGGTGTCAAGGAGTTGAATAGCCTCGACATTCACGTGATGGTGGAGCCTTTTTTTTTTTTTTTAATTATTATACTACAAAATGTAATTATTTTATTTTATCTCACACACTGTTTTATTGTGTTTTTGAAGTGAAACTTCTTTATCGGGGTTGGAAAAAAATTTAGTGTAACATTTTTGCGTTACGCGTCACATTTTTTCGTTACGCGCCATGTTGCTTTTTGAAGTCAAACTTCTTTATCGGCGTTAAAATATGACATATAGTATGTTTTTGACTTTGAAGTTTGACAACGGATTACATTTTCGACTTGAAATTTGCTAATCGCAATTTGCAGCAATTAATTTGTAAATTGTATGCTAGGCAGTGTATCAAAATTTACTTTGTTTAAAGAAATAGTTTCTAATAAGGTCATAAAGAAGTTTCACTTCTTACGTGTGTACACCTAGTACACGCACACATTTTTTTTTCTATTACTTTTATTACTCTTTAATGTATAATTTTCTACGGTTTCGATATTTGTAAATATGTGAGGAACATGTATACTAACTTTTTTAGTATAGTAGTTTTATTCTAAGAGTACATTGTATTCACATATAATTATTTAACAAATGTAAACAGAATATTGTAAACCTATTTTAAAAGAGTAAGTGTAGAGTTACTTGCCCATTCTTCTCCACACGAAACTACCCTTTGGAAGGGGCAACTAGAATCTTCTTTGTATTTTGTTTGACGTTCAAAAGTGTCATTTTAGGTGGTCTAATTGAAATAAATGATTTGACTTTGACTTACGTTCGTGGGCTCCAGCAGTCCTCCAGCACTCCAGCGCCAAAAAAAGTATAACTTCAAAAATGTTTTTTTTTTTGTGTTTCAGAATAAGTCCAACGAAGCCTTTATGTTAATCTGGTATGGGGCATTGGATGAGTCACAAGGATTCGGTCCACAGTCACGAATGTGGGGCGAAAAGGGTGCAATAGTGGGCTACACACCATCGTTCGGCAATTTTAGAGTCCACTTAATACCACATCAAGGTAATTTATCCAATTTATCCATTGGTAAGGGAGCGTTCAAGTATTACGTCACGAAATATTTGAAGATTTTTGACCCCCCCCTATTCAACGCGCCGTAACGTTTTTCTGTAACGCAAGTATTATATAGTAAAACGTTTCGTGACCACCTAGTGACTCTTTATACCTAAAAGTTACCATTATGTGGTGTAAAGTACTGGAAAGTCGAAAATAATTTAACTAAACTAAAATAATTTAACAAAAGGACCCCCCCAAAATTCGTTACGTAATACTTGAACCTTCCCTAAGATGCTATGAGCATTATTTTTGGAGTGTCAACTCTCATCCCTGAGGTGCGATTGAATCATGGTGTGCTCCAATGGAATTAGTATCATGGTATTACTTTTTTTTTATCATATTAAATACGTATGACAAAAATTTGTGAATATCGATTGTGTAATGTAACATTACGATTTTTACAAACTATTTGTTTGGTATAGCAGTGTTGGCCTAGTGGCTTCAGCGTGCGACTATCATTCCTGAGGTCGTAGGTTCATTCCCTGGCTGTGCACCAATGGACTTTCTATGTGCGCATTTAACATTTGCTCGAACGGTGAAGGAAAACATCGTGAGGAAACCGACATGTCTTAGACCCAAAAAGTCGACGGCGTGTGTCACAAATGGCTGATCACCTACTTGTCTATTAGATTTAAAAATGATCATGAAACAGATTCAGAAATCTGAGGCCAAGACGTAAAGAGGTTTTAGCGCCACTTGTAGTATTTGCTTTAAAAACAAAAAAACATGAAATTTACTGGCTACATATTTTTTTTTATATATTTGAAATAGTTGCCTCTATGGTCAAATCATCATATTGTTACGAGCTAGGGAATCGAACAGAAAATTCCGTAGATGTCATCAAGGGTTTATTTTTAAATAAATCAGCGAGAAGTTTGTTTACACTAAAAACCGGAAATTACTCGCAGAGATGCACTTATTATACACACAAAATACAGTCACAAATTACTGTAATTACGCGCACTTTACTATATCTCTTCGGTGTTGTCTCTTGTTTTTGCATTATATATCCTTGGGAATAATCTTGAACGATGTTCGAGAACTCTCTAGGCAGGATTGAGAGTAGCGATTGCACTTCTAGAACGTACGTACTCTCATCTCTTTCGCACATTGCTCCGTCCTTGTCGTTCGGCGTTCTAGAGTGTTCAGTCCATCGAGAAGGTTCTGATCTTCCCGCTCTCTTGCGTATCATTCCGTCTTGTCCCATACATAAAAAAATCGGTCTAAAATATTCATTCATCAAAGAGGTATCACTAGTCCTGAAAACGCCTGAAAACGGGTATTTTGACTGTAGAACTCGACTACACATGTTCTGAACCGGCCTGAAAAATTTCAGACTCCTGAAAACTAGGGTAACATTATGCAAATTAACGTCACTAAATTGTTTAAAAATCGAAAAACATTTCAAGCAACCCCTTCGTAACAATATGTTGAAATGCTATATGTTTAACCAACAACCGAAAGAGGCTGTAATCAATTTGACATGAAATATTATTATTATTATAATAATAAACTAATATTATTAGAATCCATAGTACTTATTAATTAAATTTGTATTAAATTTAAACAAAATCTGTCAATTTTTCAGGAAAGCTCATACACACATCATTCACTGATGCCTATTCACCAGGGCTGCATCTCTTAAAGGAGAAATATTATTCTCTATTGAAGGTAGAGAAACATCCATTTGGCCGTTTAGCTGTTCTCGGACCTGACAATGAACTTAATTCTAAGGTACAGTTATTTCTATCAAATATGTAAATTAATTATGAATTTAATGTTAATATTAATACATTTACATTATACTTTAAATTATTTTATTTATTTATAAGTCCTATATCAACATGTATTAAAATATACAAGAAAATATGACTAATTTTACACACATTCACATCAATTATATTAGAACATAATAGACTACAAAGTATAAAGTATAGTGAAAAAGTATTTAGGATAATTGGGAATTTGCCCTTGTCTATAAACCTCGAAGTCACACTTTAAAAAAACGTGAAGTGAAACCTCCAAAAACAACGTTTTTATTGTTAATAATATGTAAATTAGACTATTTTCACTATCTAAATGTAGGTTAAACTTTGCTTTAATTTAATTTAATTTTAATTTATAAGTTTAATATCACTCTAAGTTGGGAAAAACTAAAATAATGAAAGTATAAAATTCGATGAAACGAAAGAGCGACAGTAACTTGAAACTGGCATAAAGTCAAAACTATTGCCATAATAAAAAAAAAGAAAAAGAGCGACAGTAAAAAGAGACAGACACATAAATTAATAAGACGTGGGGGAAAATGAGATGGAAGCATTTACTACAGTGTAGAAACTTTAAATTAAGTAAAGTGTAGTAAAAAGTTTTCACTTCAAAAAGTTTATATAATTGATAATATGTAAATAAAATTGAAAAATTTCATCTAATATTATAATTTAACTACTTACTTATTTAATTTTTTGTACATCTATGTTTTTTTCAAATACCCGCTAATTTAAAGTTTATACACTGTATAATGCTTCCTATCTCATTTTCTCCCACGTTATATCTTATGAATTTGTGTGTCTGTCTCTTTTTCGTTGCATCCGGTTTGAAATCACAACAATTCTAAAGAAGCTTCACTTCAAAATTATCTATGAACAAAGACATGTTGCAGCTTGATTTAAACATTGATGGAAGGTACTTTACTCAGATTTTTAATTCCGTAGAATTCTGACAGCTATCAGTTTTTGACATGTCAGAGATGGCAAACCTTTTTGGCCGGGCTCATTTTTCAATTTCAATACGAGTCTGAACATCTGAGTCTATACATACATTTTATATGTTAGTGAATGTATCCATTTTATTAAGTGCGGTGCTCAACATAAAAAGTGGTTTTACGACCTCGATCATTACGTCCCTTTTCATCACAAACAGAAAAAACGCACAAGTAAAGATAACATTATATTTTTTAAAAGGTTTACTTAACCTGGAACTCGTAAGTGATGCCAGCTAAAGAATAAAATAAAGTAATTAAAGTTACTTCAAATATATTGGAATATTTTTTGAAGTGAAACTTCTTTATCGGGGTTGGAAAAAAATTTAGTGTAACATTTTTGCGTTACGCGTCACATTTTTCCGTTACGCGCCATGTTGCTTTTTGAAGTCAAACTTCTTTATCGGCGTTAAGATATGACATATAGTATGTTTTTGACTTTGAAGTTTGACAACGGATTACATTTTCGACTTGAAATTTGCTAATCGCAATTTGCAGCAATTAATTTGTAAATTGTATGCTAGGCAGTGTATCAAAATTTACTGTGTTTAAAGAAATAGTTTCTAATAAGGTCATAAAGAAGTTTCACTTCTTACGTGTGTACACCTAGGACACGCACACATTTTTATTATTTTTGTATTAGGTCACTTGAGTAAGCCTACCTTTATTATATATACCTTTATTGTATAGTTACCTTTTTGTAGGTAAAACATAAAAAAATACGTAGCATTTTATTTTATTGCCTTCAAATAGGTCAAATATGTCCCTTTTTCGGTGGAGAACTTTCAGAATTCTACGGAATTAATAAAATCATAGTATTGATTACCTCATACATAGATAAATCCTTTTTAGTGCCACACACAAAGTTCTAGTACTTTTATAATAAATGTTAAGTTTAAAAATATTTTTTACAATTGTATTACCCTCTTTTTAGAATAAAGATGTCAACTTCGTGCCAGTACAAATGCTGGTAGAAACCCCATTTGTGCTAGACATTGTGTATACCACGGAGGACCTATCAGGACCACCTCTGAAAGGGGAGGAGTATACCAAGGTGTTGGAACAGAAGAAGACGGCTTTTGATGCACGATTCGAAGAGGAGTTTAAATTGAAAGACAAAGGGTATTTATTTAATTTTCAACCTATAATGTATATATCCAGAAATGTTTGAATATCTGTAGTACTGAACGGATTTTGATAGATTTTAACTATCAATTAATCATTTAAATATGACTTTCAGTTTAGGAGAAATTTGTGAACAAACCTATGTGTGCTTACGAAATTTTGTACTTGTGGTTGGGGAGCTTATCATTCTGGAATAATGTCCAATTCCAAAATACACTGCAGCGAACCTAATTTAAAAACTAAAACCTTTTTTTAATCGGTTTAAAACGTGCTTATTAAACAATCCATGAAATACAGTAAATAAAAAAGGCAATTACGTTATAAAACGGAATAGAATAACATAAAATAATATTTCTAAATGGTGAAGAAAGTAACGGAGACAGTATAAACTTGTTATCTAATATATAAAATTCTCGTGTCGCGGTGTTTGTAGTTAAACTCCTCCGAAACGGCTTGACCGATTCTCATGAAATTTTGTGTGCATATTGGGTATGTGAGAATCGGACAACATCTATTTTTCACCCCCCTAAATTTTAAGGGTTAGATACATTTTTTATTATTTATTTTTTTATGATACAACATTAAAAAATACATACAACCCCTAATTTTCACTCCTCTACAATCAACCCCTATTCTTTATTATAAATGATATACATGGCAAAACGACGTTTGGCGGATCAGCTAGTATATGTATATTTATATTTTTTAAACAGCGCTGTTTAACAAGCGGCCTGAAAGATATTCAGCCGTAGCGTTTGTTACAACATTTAATAAACTGGCTAATGCTTGGGCCTTTCGTACGATCATATGACAGAAATATAAAGATGAAATATTTGACATAAAAAAATATTTCTAAATTAAAACAGTAACAAAAAAAATATATGAGCCGTCACGGGACGCCTGGCAGATGTGAAACATCGACATTATTTTGTAAAAGTAATATGAAAAGCAGAAAAGAACAGATTGTGATAGGAACTAAATCAGCCATAATAATAAAATAAAATATTACGATTTTTTTTTCAGATAACGATGACTATTTATTGAATAAACATTTGTTTTCATTAAATACAAAAATTTACGAATTTATTTCAAATCGTTACTACTTCATTCGTTTAATCAGTGACTTCGAAATACACACACCGTACACACTACTGCATATAGACTGTATATATGTACCATCATATAGTGTGGCGGCGCGTCGCCACGGCATGCGTCGCCACGTCAGAAATCGGTTTTACGTTCGGCTATAGATGTTTCACATCAATAAAAACAGCTTCTTCTTCCATTATACTTGTTGTAATTAAACTTTGGAAAACACCATCAAAGTTGGGGTTTGTCGACCCCATATTGGCAGAAAGTGGAATTAAATTTAAATTAACAGTCAATTGGCTAGGCAAGTAATGAAACGTCATCGAATCGTCTGCCTAGCTGTTTGATCAACTGGCTGAATGTTCAGGCCGATAGTTAAACTGCGCTGTTTAGTAAAGAGGCTAGTCTTTTAATTAAACGACTTATTAAGCTCATTGGCTGCGACATATATGTATATTAGTAGATATGGATACTATTAATCATATTAAATATATATATATATACATATATTTGTATCCCAAATGTATTCCTTCCAGGCATTTTATTGCTATATACTATTCTAAAATTTTTTCAGATATTCCGAAGCAGATATAGCCATTGCAAAGGCGGCCATGTCGAACATGGTTGGTGGTATTGGTTATTTCGACGGTACTAGCAGAGTGCAGTCACAATACACACGGGAACCAGTGCCTTATTGGAAGGCGGCCTTGTATACCGGAGTACCGAGTAGGTAAGAACTCTTTATTGATTATGGGAGCCTGGTACTTTTTAAGTTTTGAAAGAATTTCATTTTTATTAATTATTGTTTTTAAATAACGTATGTGTGCGTGTGTGTGTGTGTGTGTGTGTGTGTATACGTAGGCATTTTTATGGTCTCATTTCTGTGTTTCATCTCATTACACAGAAAAACCAACTCACTTAAAAGAAAACCAGCTACTGAAGTGTTTCCGAACGAATTCGATTTTCAAGAAAAGTGCGTACCATTTTTTAAAAGGCTGGCAATGTACTCGCGAGCCCTTTGGCATTGAGAGTGTCCATGGGCGGCGGCATCACTTAACATCAGAATATGAGCCTCCAGTCCGTTGGCTATAAAACAAAATGAAAACACGTGTTTTAAATGTAGAAACTCAAAGCATGTGGATAAATATTATAAATACAAATACACAGTGAACAGAGGCGGCGTGCGTGCCAACATGCGCCACTAACTTCATTCTGTTAATTTTGTGCCACGGTGCGCGCGTTTCGTAAAATTTCACTCTCATAAATTTTTCATAACGCGCCTAAAGAGGTATAACTTCAATTAGTGGGCAACTTCATTCTGTTAATTTTGTGTCACGGTGCGCGCGTTTCGTAAAATTTCACTCTCATCAATTTTTCATAACGCGCCTAAAGAAGTATAACTTGAAAAAATTAAACGTGTGTATTTATTTATTGAGTGTGTGTGAGAATTTATACTTTGGCGTAAAAATCTTTTCAAAAATTTTATTCTACGTTTGTAGAAAAACTAAAATGTTGACTATAGCTAACTTCAGGGTGTCGGTTTTTATTGACGATGTGCGCGCGCATCGCATTTACTTTCATCGTTTTTCTCTAACGCGCCAAGAGAAGTTATACTTAACTTCAAAAAGAAAAAAGTAACTGAGCTCAGCCAGTGTTGTATAATTATTTAAATATAAGAAATATTTAATAATAGTTATAAATCTCCTTATAAAGCTCCTTATAGATTCTGAAAGCCTGGTACTTCATAACAGTATTCCACTTTAAAACATGTCTCTCTTTCTCACTTCAGGTCATTCTTCCCTCGAGGTTTCCTTTGGGATGAAGGTTTCCACGGTCTACTTGTAGGTCGCTGGTCTCCAGATATTCAGATGGACATTGCTGCTCATTGGTTGGATCTTATCAATGTCGAGGGCTGGATACCTCGGGAGCAGATATTGGGTGAGTCCAAAAATTTATTTCTATTGAGATTTCCGAGAAAAATATATGAAAATGTATCGTGAAAAATGTCCAGATTATCAATTAATTATTTTAAGACAGTTAAAACGTTCTAATTAAAATGTATAGATATTATCGATATTAGAGAAATTTTAAACTTGAAAGTATAGTTTTAACTAGCAGACTCGGCCAAGCGTTGCTGTGGCTAAGGTTTTTGTTATATTACAAAATAGTAAACTATTCAAGGGAAACGGTAGGAGAACACCAGTCATGGGGACCACCATGCTTTTTTGGTGGTTACGCCATTAAATTGTAGCTTATGTGAAACGTTGGTACTTTCAACACAGCGCCATCTGTTACAATTGTGACTATCAAATAATTTGCAATAAAATAATATTGCGTGTATAAATTGAGATGTAAGTTATCCTATCTTTTGAGTTAGATCAAACCGCACGCGGTGTGCAAATTTGATTGAAATCGGTTCAGTAGTTTAGGAGTCCATAGCGGACAAACAACGTGACACGTAATTTATATATATTAAGATTACAAGTGGTGTAGGGAGCGTTCAAGTATTACGTAACGAATTTGGGGGGGCCGTTATTGTTAATATGATTTTAGACTTTCCAGTACTCTACACCACATAATGGTAACTTTTAGGTATAAAGGGTGACTAGGTGGTCACGAAACGTTTTACTATACTTGGGTACAGAAAAGCGTTACGGCGCTTTAAATGGGGGGGGTCTTTAATCTCCATAAATTGCGTGACGTAATACGTGAACGCTCCCGTAGTGTAGTGTAATAAAGGTGTAGTTTTTATTACAATTATTATTCCAGGACCGGAATCTTTGGCCCGAGTGCCTAAAGAGTTCGTAGTGCAAAGCAACGCGGCGGCCAACCCACCCATGTTGCTGATACAGATCGCAAATATGGTCCAACGTCGGCCAAATCTCTTCCAACATGATTCCAAGCTTCGGCGAATGTTGGAAAGAATGTTTCCGAGACTTCAGGTGTGTGAATATTATAATGGCCCTTTTAAGTTAATATTTGCGTAAAATTCAGTATAGAAACGAAACACCCCACACTCTTTATCTGTTATGGGAGCCTAGTACTTTTTTGAGAAATATTTTGTTTTTTAAGCCCTTTTTGGAATCAATTTCCAGGCCTCTGTGGTGATGGTTTGGATTGGATTTATGAATTGCTTATAATAAATAACTTTCAGGCGTGGTACAACTGGTTCCTTAATAGTCAAAAAGGCATCGAACCCACGTCCTACAGATGGAGAGGGAGGGAAGATGACGGGATTCAGCTAAACCCTAAAACATTGACTTCAGGTCTTGATGACTATCCAAGGTCAGCAGCAAACCTCTTATACCAATTATATATTTTTAATATAATCTTTACAATCACAATAAAGTATGCAGTATTTATAAATTTTCTTAACCTGAAAAAAACCAAAACAAATTTAAAAAGTTTGGTCCTGATAAATAATTACTGTTGACGTAATTACCAAATAAGAATATCTAAGAAAAATGAATTGCTACACCACATTCAAATGAATCTATCTATATATATAAGAAAAATGGTCTTCGTTTGAGACTCCTTCACGCCTAAACCACTGATCGTATCGACATGAAACTACTGCCATTCGATGCGAAATTTTTCTATGGCTATTTATTTTTATAAATTCCAACGTTCCTTCAATTTTTTATTGCTGTTTTACTTTTATTAATATTTATACATACGGACTTCACCGCGGAAACATTCGGGGTGGCTTCCTAGAACCTCAAAACGTCAACATCTGTTAAAAACTCGATTTTCGAAAATTTTCAATTTTCTTAGCGGGAAGTTGAAAAGAAGAATAAGAAAAATAATAATAATAATGAAGCTTAAAATTTTATTTATTCCTATTTCAATTCGCCCAGCAAAGCGGGCGGGAAACGGCAAGTTATTGTATAATTGCGTTAATAATTTGGTTAAAATTAATTTTCAGAGCCTCCCATCCCTCGGAAATCGAGAGGCACGTTGATCTCCGTTGTTGGATGTTTGCCGCAGCCGACGCCATGACAGTAATCGCCTTTGCACTGCAAAGGGATACTTCTAAGTAAGCGAAATTATCTCTTAATATTCACTTGAAATTCTTTAAGAGAACCAACGTATCGCCTACATAATGTTTGTGGCAAAACTTAATACAAAAATTTAAAACAGATCAAAGTCTTCACACAGCTATGAAACACAAATTTCTGAACGCATCGCAATCGACTTCCGATTATAGAATAAACAAGCGTTGCCATAGATAATAATTTGACGTCAATATAATGGAGGGAAAAGCTGGCAGTCTGTTGTCAATGCTCTCCCGCTGACCATAAATCACTCGAAACGTCTAATTCTTAATTTAAATTTTAATTGGCTTAAATACTTTCGATTCGAAAAATTTCAAATTAAGAACGCTTTGAAGTGAGCTCAAATTCGGAACATAGGATAGGCCTTGAACCTTTGACCGCTAACAGAGGTCTCAACGGAATGAATGACATTAAGTGACCTTAATAATGACTTATTAATGAATAAGTCTGTTAATGACTATGTCAAAATGAGATATTTTGTCATATTACAGATTTGAAGCGATTCGTGAACAACTTGGCGATGAAAAATTATTAAATAAGCTGCATTGGGCGTCTCATTCAAATTCATATGCTGATTATGGTGAGTTTTATAAACAGGGGCCAAAGGGGGACAAAGGGACATGAGGAAGACAATCACCAATTTATTCCATGGGCATAATGCAACCAAGTTTGCTCTAGGTGGAATGCGGTAAGAGCGGAGCCTAGGCCACCTAGGGGGCTAATGTGAAGTGATACCGCCGCTCATGGACACTCACATTACCAGAAGGCTCGCATGTGCGTTGCCGGCCTTTTTTACAGAACATCGTACAAGCGGCTATGAGGCTCATCTGATGGTAAGTGATATCGCCGCACATGGATACTCACACTACCAGAAGCCTCGCAAGTGCGTTGCCGGCCTTTTTTACAGAACATCGTACAGGCGGCTATGAGGCTCATCTGATGGTAAGTGATATCGCCGCTCATGGACACTCACACTACCACAAGCCTCGCAAGTGCGTTGTCGGCCTTTTTTATAGAACATCGTACAAGCGGCTATGAGGCTCACCTGATGCTAAGTGATATCGCCGCTCGTTGACACTCACACTACCACAAGCCTCGCAAGTGCGTTGCCGGCCTTTTTTATAGAACATCGTATCATCTGATGGTAAGTAATACCGCCGCTCATGGACACTCACATAACCTAAAGACTCGCAAGTGCTGTTTGAATATGGGCAATTATAAAAACCTCTTCTTCTTTTCCCTCATTTCAAATGTATCATCTTTCAGGTTTGCACACAGATGGTGTGAAGTTAGTTCGCCAAGCGTCTAAATCTCCTGGAGAAGGGTTGAAGGTAGTCCGTTCCGTCACAAGTCCACCTCAGCCCAGGCTGGTTGCGTCGGCTTTTGGTGAGTTACTCGGCTACAGGAGTTGTACAGTGTCTGTGAATTTGCAGCAATTGCAGAAACATTAGGCAACTTAATGTTCTCCAAGAAGATGATGGGCAAGGTCGAGGGGTAAAGACGCGCTGGCAGAAGGAGGAAGTCGTGGCTCCGCAATATTAGAGAATGGACGGGAGTGGCCAGCGTAGAACAGCTTGGCGAAAAATAAGAAGGAGTATGACGAGCTGACCGCCAACCTCCAGAAGTGGAGAGGCACTCCAAGAAGAAGAAGAATGTTTTCCAAGAAGGTTCTTTGTACCCAGGGGATATGTGTGAAGGCCAAAGTTGACAATAAAAATCATCGGTCACTAGACTCTATCCAAGCATTCCCTGACATATATATGTGTGTGTGTGTTCTTTTCACTGTCTGTATATGTTTAAATTTAAAAAAATAAAAAAAATTCTCTCTGGAAGAGATCTCTCCAAAGATAACGCCAGTTGTTTCAAAGCGATAACGGCGCAAGCGTACAATGAGCGTATCGGAACAATTGGCGTGACGGGACAATGCGTCATGATATTAGACGTTGTCACGTCAAAAGGCGTTAGACGTTAGTTAAGATTTCTGTATGTTTCGTGATGACTATTCTAGGCAAGTACGTTCTGTGTACATATGTCAAGTTTTTTGGCCCAAAGCAAGACATTCCACATGATTTTTCCTCATGAGCAAGAGTCGACCTGTTCTACACGTAAATGAAATATATTTTATAGTTTTAATTCTAATTCGTTAAACAGACTCAAATCTTTTTGTAAAACGTTACGATGCGGGGCGGGGATTGAATTACGCGTTATTGTTAATATTATTTTCGACTTTCCGATACTTTACACCAAATAATGGTAACTTTTAGGTATAAAGAGTCACAGGTGGTCACAAAACGGTTTACTATACTTGGTTACAGCACTGTACTTGGGTACGTTACGGTGCGTTACATGTGCGGTGTGTGTGTGCGTGTGTGTCAATAATCTCCAAAAATTGCGTGACGTAATACTTAAACGCTCCTCTATTACTAAAGACTTGATTTTTTAATTTCAGGTTACATATCACTATTCCCAATGTTACTGAAAGTGCTGAGTCCGAAAAGCGATAATTTGGGAAAAATCCTTGCTGTTCTGGACAAGCCGAGTTTACTATGGTCACCTTACGGCCTGAGGTACGTTCAGCGCAGATATTTCTTAATTTTGTGTTTGTTTTTTTATATTATGCGACAGGTGACTCTTGGCGTGACCCTACTAAGCCCTACTTAAAATATGACGTTTATACTAAGAAGTGGATGAAAAAAGTTTTTGTGTTCATGTTTTTAAAGGTATTATAAAACTAAACTATTACGTTAAATTACCACAGGATAATAAATGTCAAAATAAAATAAATAAAAAACATCTATGTTCTCTATCAGCAGTAGTGAAATGGGAGCACGCGCTTATATTCTCGTAGGAACAACACTCAAATACATAGTCCAAATGACTAAAGTAGCACCCGTTCACGAGTATGACGCATGGTCAGCCATCGGCCCCCTCGCCATATTTTAGGGAGAGAGAGAACCCGACGCCTGGACGATCGTCAGCGACATTTCTTTATCGATATTCTTCTGTTTAGACATATTTGCTAGCAGATAAGCGTGATACAGTAGTGTGTTGCTACGTAAACCTAGGTAACACTGAAAATGTTTAGAAAATGAAAATCGGCTTAATGTAGAAAGTTGCCAATACTTGTATTCTTTTTCGAAGTTATATCCGTTCCTATGTACACATCGTTGCATTCGATGGAACCCATGTGAAAAGCAGTGGGCCCATTCTTCTTTAGATTTGGCGCCAATTCACAAAAACAAATGACAAATGAATGCAATGTACTACATTACCAAAAAGTTTTAAAATTCAAATTCAAAAAAGTTTGTGTTTTTGTGTTTCTAACTGGCCAGTTCTAAACATTTTCAGTGTTACCCACGTACGTGTCATTTGTTACGTACAGATAACTATAATATTTACTTCTTAATTTCAGGTCCTTATCAAAATCAGCTCCATTGTACATGAAACGTAACACGGAACACGACCCTCCATACTGGAGAGGTCAAGTCTGGATAAATATTAATTATTTGGCCTTATCCGCACTGAAACACTATGCAAGTGTGGAAGGACCTCACGCCAGTAGAGCGGAAGAGCTTCATACGAAACTGAAAACTAATGTCGTTGGTAAGTAAAAGCGTTACAACCCCCACAACACTCGATTTACAGAATTTATGAACTGGGGCTTCGGGTGATTTATCTGTCTGTCTCGCCCGCACTTGCAGGTCTTATGGTTGGTGTAGTGTGGTGTGATATGCTAAATTCTGTTAAGTATTAATAGGAATAATTTGGCAAATTAAGTGGGCAACGGATGGCCTTTTCGCTACAAAGCCAAAGTTCTAGTGCAAAACTTTAATAATAAAATATTTATAAATGTCTAATAACTTATAGAAAAAAATAAAAACTGAATGAAAAATTACGCCTTTTCGTTCGCTTTATAAAAAAGTTGGTGCAAGGCGTGATTCGAACACCATACTGGTACTATGGAACTGGTATATGGATTATATATTTAGAACAGGGCAGGCTTACATGTTAAGATATCGCCCGTGTAACTAAAGCCAGATTAGTCGCAAGGGCGTTGTCGGCCTATGACATACACACATACTAATATACTACACTGGTTTTACTACGATTGTTCATCTTCATTTTTTTTTATGCTGAAATGCTAACCGTTGAGTATACAGTTGATACTAAATTTTATGTTAAATGTTAGGTAATAATTGATAGTGTAATAGTTTTAGGTTTAGTAGAGTAACAATTAAGTAATAATACATACACAGCCACACACTCACGTTACACACTAGCACACAGACACACACCTACACACATACACACACTTACGCACACACATATACCCCGTATGGTTTCATTATAAATATTTTTTTGATAACGTTGCAGCCTATGTAATCATGATTGTTTATTCTCACTCAATTTTTCTCTACTCTTTAAGACCTTCTGTCGATCTGAAGTGGTGGAGACCTGATGACCTGTAACACAGATACTCTTACCTTTAGCAGGCATCAGTCTCACACAAATTAGAATTTTCCCTAAATAGAAGAAAGACAATTATTTATTAACTGCCATTATGAATAAAGATTATTATTATTTTTGACTTGATTTTTTGCATTCCATGGCAACATTCTCCAACATATCGAAATAATTTTTCGGTCTGCTGCATCTATCAGCACAATCTATTACACATAGCTATATAATTACTAAAACACACGTATTTATACAACAAATTTGATTTTAGGTAACATAATATCGCAATACAAAAAAGACGGGATACTTCTGGGAGCAGTATTCGGACCAAGATGGCCGCGGTTCCGGATGTAAACCGTTCACCGGATGGACCGCACTCTTTGTTTTAATGATGGCTGACGAATATTAGAGCTACATTTGTGAGATATAACGGCCAAAGGCGAATTTTACTTCCGCTGACAGCTGCTCAAGTTCATACAATATTGTTTGCTTTGTATAGATGCGGAGTAGATTTATAAATGAAATAAATCAGTGCCGCTACCTTTTTAGGTCTGGGCCTCAGATTTCTGAATCTGTTTCATGGTTTGTCAATCTAATAGGTAAGTCGGTGATCAGCCTCCTGTGCCTGACACACGCCGTCGACTTTTTGGGTTCGGGCAAGCCGGTTTCCTCACGATGTTATTCTTCATACAGAAGTAGTTATAGGCTTGCAAAAACTGACTAAAGGGTCGTTCAAGTATTACGTAAGCAGATTTACTGTATTTTATCCCCCCTCCCCCCCTCTTGTCAGCAAAAGTAAGTAAAGCTCTCAAAAATAATGCTACATAAACGTATTAATTTTAATAATTTAAATGGTAATAATATGAATTATTTAAGAGAGCTCCTCAAAAGCCGTAAACTTTGGGGGCTTTGATTTTCTTATTTGGTGATTACGTCAACAGTAATTATTTACTTTTTTACACATATTACCCACACATTGTCTATGCTTGAAAACGAAATGCGTTTTCGAGGATTCCTACAAAAAATTAAGTTGAATGGGTTCGGAAATACTCCGGTGGGCAGTTGGTTCCACATAGAGGTGGTGCGCGGCGAAAACTGCCTTAAAAAAACTCTCAGTTGTGGAACGGCGGACGTCGAGGTGATACTGGTGAAATTTTAACGATATTTAGGATCCAATTCTCGTTACCTAATCGATAAAATTTGTCCTTTATCAGTATTTGAATTTTGTATTTTTTAAATTACTTATTATTCTATTTATCACGTCATAAATATAATAATTAGTAATCTTAAATGAGACAACACATTGTAATTCCTTTTAAATCGGCTTGATTTGCGTCATTTAAATAATAATAATAATTTGTTTAACAGTGTTAAAATCTGTTAAATTAAGGTATACTAAAAAATTTTTGTCTGTAAAGTCGTCTTACGGACGAAAGTTTAACGTGACAACGTTATAACAAAACATTGATGAAATGATTGCATACTTATATGAATAAAATTGAATCATTTTTATTGGATTAAAGTAGTAACCCTCGGACAATAGGCCAATCGAGTGGAAGAGAGATAGATACGGCGCAAGCGTACAATGAGCGTAACGGGACAATGAGTCATACTTTATCGTGCGTGCCGGCGTTCATAGATTTATCAGACGTTGTCACGTCCAAACACAAATGTGTGTAAATTTCGCATTACAATCCTTTAAGCAATGATTAGATTATAAGGTTCAAAGTAGATGGCGCTAGATGGAGTAGTATACGTTAGTACGTAATTGAAATGATAGTTAATTTGTTTTCGTGAAATGTGGCGCCATCTTGTGCCAACAAAGCCAAACCATTAGCGATTCAGCATTATGGTTCAGAAATGAGAAGCGCAATTGGCACACAAGCTCTTGTAGATTATAACAGAGGACAAGTCATTGTTTTTAATTTATTTTATTATTATTAATTACTTAAGATGTTATGTGGAACATGGTGTAATGGTTGCAGCGCCTTACAAACGTTGTGTAAAATAAACCATGGCAATTAAAAAGAGTGGCGGTGGGTTTATTGCCAGTTCTTCTCTTCCGTTCTTCGCCCTTGATTTGAGAACTGGCACTAAATGTAAAGCTAGAATATGCATTTTTTTTGACGTTCATCAGTGTACACTGTGTTACCTGTATGATTAAATAATTTAGACTTTTGACTTTTTAATAGAAGTAATAAATCATGTATAAATTAGTATTAACAATTTCTTTGTTTGCCGCGTGTATTGTCGGTAAAAAAGTGAATTAATTACCCAAATTAATCCATAGATGGCGCTGCTTTTCATAGTTTTTTCGTATTTAAAGTTGGGTAAATGTTTTATAAGGTAATGTATGTATTTATAAAAACTTCCAAATGCCTTCTTCCTTAAAATCTATAATTTAAGTTTCTAAAGTGAACAATTCAATTATTTAGTATTAAAAATTATGTATGTTTCATGGGACATAAGAATTTCAGAAAGGGTAAGGTCCCAAGGCACAAAAAAGGGTGGGAAACATTGCTATTCATTACGGTTCAAAATCAGATGAAATTGAAAAATCCAATTTGTGTTTTGCCATTTATTGAGCTAGGCTAACGAATCAACGTTGGACGCTGGTTGATTTTGAAGACAGGACACATGTTTTGTGTCATCCAAATGAATGGTTTATAATGAACATGTACTTTTTATTATTATTTTTATATATTCTTAAATTATTTGTAAATACCCTCTTATTAATAAAAACTGAAAAAGTTGTATAAAAAGCGACCTCTAGTGGCGTAATGGACAAACTTTTTTTTTTTCAACTAAATCTTTTGTCCAATACCCAGTAAAAGTTATTGAGAACTTAAAACTATGAATAAGAAGGTATGTGTGACCTTTGTTTGTGTATTTATAAATAATTTGTTACATAAATGTTATAATTTTATCATTGTTTTTTATTGTCTATGGTCGGCAACTAGTTATAGCTGTGATACTGTGGAAAGTTTTAAAATTTTAAAATAAATTTTGACACAACTGATATTCAAGTGCTATTTATTGGTTTCAAATTGCGATTTGGCCGAGCTTCGACCTTTTGCGGTCCGCCTAGCTGATGCTGGCCGATTGGTCTATAGTGCTAAGAATTTACCCAACAAAAAATCTCAAAACCCTTTAAAAGATTTGTCAGTTTAAAAGCTTCAAACTCAAACGCCAGTGGGAGATAGGAGAGGTGTTTAGCACGCTTAGTATTAAAGCGATTTCAAAATTCATCTGAAATTAGTTTACATCTTTAAGTAAAAATTTATTGACTAGAGAAAGGAATCTATTTATTTCAAATGTGACAATGTTTGAAGTTTTTACTTTTATATATTATATGTCGCAGTCAACTAGCTTAACTAGCCGTTCAACTAGCGGCCTGAAAGATAAAGTTCATCGACTAATACGGCCTGTTGCCTGGCGCGTTGACAAAAATAAGAACTACGACTATGAGCAACTTAAAAGCAGACGTGCAGGAATGATTACGTAAAATAGGTATTTATTTACAGACCAATGGACAAAAACAATGCTGTCTTTTAAAATGTTACCATCACGAAGTTATAAGATTACCTCTGTGATCTCTTTCCAACTGTATTTAAATAACCTTGTAGAAAGAAGCGTGACTATAAAATATGTTTCAAACCACCAGGTGATTGGCGAATACAATGTCAATATGTGCAACATCTAGAAGATAAATATTCTTAAAACTCTTACAGATCAAGCTATAAGTGACAGCAAAACTGAGTTAAATCTTGATACTGACTTGTATTTCTTTATATCAGTTTCTTAACAAGTTAAATAGATATCATTGTAATTTCGAGATTCATAGTTGCATAAAACAACAACGTTACTGTTTACCTTATCTCTTCATTGATTATTTATTGATCGTAAAGGATGGATAGAGTCGTCGTATTCCTAAAAGCCGTTGGCCACCAGATAGATTTTTAGTCTGTGGTATCTGAAATTATTTGCCTGTAGGCTGTGCATTTCATCTGTGACCTGTGTTTTTGTGTTACTCACACATCAAGGTCTATATACCATGTCATGAACTCCAAAAAAAAATAATAAAAAAAACACAATTGACGTTACAAAATACAAAATCAGTATTCAGTCACTATATAGTATATTCTTTATTCTATAACTTCTTGCAAAATAAATGTGTAATAATACTTTTTTATGTTGAAGCCTATATAAATTAAATTTGAAATTATGAAGACTAAAATTAGGGAAGTTAAACAAGAAGTAACATATACGGACGGCGCTTATTATAACAAAATTAGTTTTCCTGTGTTAAAAGAAGAATTAAAATTAGAATGTGAAGTATTCCAAACTTGTAATAATGAAACGTTCACTGATTACAATGACCTAGTTTTAGAGGCTCCAAGAATCTGCAACAAATGTGATCAAATATTTCCAAATAGGTAACACAAATAAGTGCTAATTTTAATTTTTATGACATTTCTATTTCCCCTTGCCATGGCAAGAGACGGCATGGTATATGGTAGACTGAAGTATTTTTATGTATGTAGTTTAACAGATATATATTTAAAAATATGTATAGACTGAATTACTGTAATACTAAAAATTTTGTCATTCAAACTAATATTTACATTTTTATTTCAGTTTTACATATTTAGAGCATAATTTAACTCACATACAAGTAAAAGTTCCTAAAGTGCAGTGGTTATTTTGTCACCGTTGTCCAGAAAAGTTTCTAACTAAGCCTGCTTTAGAAAAACACATCAAGGAATCACATTTAAAGCTGAAACCACATGAAGATGAGTTAAAGCAATGTGATGTATGCAACAAGATTTTTTCAAAAAAATATTGGTACGCTCATTTAGCCGTTCACAAAGACAACAAGGCTTTAACATGTTATATATGTAAAAATGGAAAGATCTTTAAAACAAAAGTAACATTAAAGCGCCATTTTAAAAATGTGCATGATAAACCGAAGATCAAAAAAGAAAAAAAAATTGTAAAGCATTTTAAATGTAATGAATGTCCAAAAGTATTTAAAAGTAGGGATTGTCTTCAGCATCATGTTAAGAACTGTCATGTTATTATGGAGGTTAAATGTGACTTATGTGGTGCTATGTTTAAAAATAAACCATATTTAGGTATACATATTAGCAGGGTCCATTATGATGATGGACACTTATATCCTTGTGATATTTGTGGTAAAACATTCAAAGCTCCACGTAGAGTTAAAATACATAAGAAGAATTCACACAAATTTATATCAAAACTGAAATTTGAAAAGGGTACTAAGATAACAGTTAAAAGCAATGAGTTATGACATAAGCAATATAATATTAATATTTATTTTTGGCGAGTAACGAATTGTAGTAAAACATATTTAAAATTAATTAGCATATGTAAACATTCATACATTAACAAATTAATGAATACAGTGGAATCTCTAACTGAAATGTCAAGGAAAATGCAAGAACATCTTTTTGTCTGTACACATGCAATGAATGAATGTATTCAATTCAAATAAAATAACAATAGATTAGAAGACCCAAAGCCGAACATTCATTATGGATTTTATTGCTATTAATTTCAAGTGAGACTCATTATATTTTACTAACTACGTCTTACAGAGTCTCCTTTTTGAAATTCGAGTTATGGAGTATATATATTTACAGTCAAAATCGGTTATAACGACATCAAAGAGACTACTCATATTTAATCGTAAAAACCGATAGTCGTAACAGCCGATGGCGTTGTTATTAAGTACCTAATACAATAGAATTCTGGCGGAACCTTTGATTTTGGTCAATATAACCGGTATGTTGTTCTAAACGATGTCGTAAACGGTTTTGACTGTATTATCAATACTTCGTAGGGAAATAAAATTTTGTTTGAGGTACATTAAATGTTTCTATGTTGATAACAAAAGTTTTATCATTTTAAAACTCTGCATTTACTGTCATAATAACATTGTTTTCTTATATCTGAAAATAATAATGCAACAATTACTTGCACCTTACAAACTTAAGGCAGTATAGGTATAAAGGTTTCCTTTAGCGAAATAATTAAAATTGTTATATCAAGTTTTATGTTGTTTTTTTTGTCAATGCCTACTATAACCCTCTTTGGACCTCGCTAACTGACAGCAATGGTGCCTGGTGGTGTCGAGATGACCAAATTATGTTGGAGTTTTAAAATAACGATTACTAAATATTTATTTATTATGGATTCTGTAAATAAAATAGTTTTAACAACAAAACAATTGTTAGATTTCATCATTTGAACATCATCAAACTGCTGACATGGATCCGGTGTGTGCTAAATATTAGCAGCCGAAGAGCAATTTTAATGATATTTTATTTAAATATTAATAATCTGCTGATACGGCTCATATGTGTTCCAAATCTTAACAGCTGAGGTTGCGCGATATACCAACAGCTCACTAGAAAAATATCATGTATGTGTAAATAGGTGTAATTAGTATTTACGATATTGTTTTATAACAATAATTCAGATTTAAATATTGCTCTGTCTTGTTCATTTCTCGCTTCCTCTCAAAGTGGCGAAGACTACTTCAAGCCCTTAATTATTGTGGTGAGCCCAATAGCTTTGAGATTATCCCACCACCTCGAACTTTTTCTCCTACCCGTAGGTCTCCGTCTGTTACCTTAGGTCTCTTGGTGCAGACATCCCGTACTTACGTCTTACCCTCTCATATATTTAGTCATCTAGTGCAGCTTGCTCATACATACATTACATATACTATTCAGATACTCCTGACATTTAAATTTTAAACACACTTCCCACAGTCCACTAACTAGCTGTAGCTGTACAACAATAAATAAAATAAAGACATGGGTTGGTGATACTCTTAGATGTCAAAAAAGTTTATTTTTAGGTACCATTATTTTAAACATTATTTTTTTAGAAAACAAGTTACCTATTTAGCATAACAAGAATTGCAGTTTTGTATTTTTATGTTATTATTTATAGTAAGATATAAAATTTGTCTCATTACATATATCTACGCAGGACTTAGATTAACTTTATATAGGTACAAGAATGTTTCATCAATGTACTGCGTACATAGTAATCAATTCTCATTACGCTTAAATGTACCTAGTCAAAGAAAATTATATCCTCGCCGATGGCGCTAATATAAAAAATTGTGCGTGTACTAGGTGTACACACGTAAGAAGTGAAACTTCTTTATGATCTTATTTTTGGAAAAATGATCTACTATATGCAACATTACAGAAATTCGTTAAATTAGATAAAGTTTAACAAAAGGCTTTTATTATCATAGACATGAATACAAATATTTCATTTTACCTTATTACTACGAAGATTATTATAGAATTTCATTAATTGTAATAGAATTATTACTATCATTGAAAAACGTGACGATTTGCTACAAAATTTCTCCCATACGTCGATAAAGAAGTTTCATTCCAACGCCGATAAAGAAGTTTGACTTCAAAAAGCAACATGGCGCGTAACCGAAAAATGTGACGCGTAACGAAAAATGTTACACTAAATTTTTTTCCAACCTCGATAAAGAAGTTTCACTTCAAAAATCATGACAGGTAACTACGTAATAAAGCGAGCCGGACAAAGATGGCGATTTACACCTTAACCTAAAACTTACATCTAGTCTACCTGAAACGTTGAAAGGAGGCTAGATGGCATCAATCTAATATAATACTTTATACATCATGACCACGTAGTTTACTAGGGCGTACAAAGATGGCGCTTTTTACAATAAAGTAAAAATATCACACGGTCTATGAGTAGTGTGTATTGTACCCTAGATGGCGCTAATTCAATATTTTTGAAGTTATACTTCTTTAGGCGCGTTATGAAAAATTGATTCAAAATTAACAGAATGAAGTTGCCCACGGAAGATGCTACGGCATTGGACATCATTTAAAAACAACATTCGAATAATAATAGAATTTATGTTACACTTAATGTAAGAGAATAATAATAAATATTTATTTATTTAATTTTTCAAATGTAAACTGAACTTTATTGACTATAATGACTCCTTTTCCAGTCTTTGATTATTTAATTGTAATTAATTATTTGCATGCAATCAAAACTATTTTTAATAATGTCAAAGAAGTATAACTTCTTACTAAAAACAAAAAATAACAATAAGTCTTTAATTGTAAAACTTACATAATAAATATAATTTAAATTATATTATTTTATATATAGTTGTACTGGTACTAGTAATTACTTGGAAATATTAATAAATAACTTCTTATAAAAACTTAATAACTAAAACAATTAAATACAAAATTAATTGAGGTTACCGGTAAAAACCTAAATAAATTCCGTGCAGTACTTTTTGAGTAATTGTTTTTATCTATCTTCTAATATATAAAATTCTCGTGTCACAATGTTCTTTCTCATACTCCTCCGAAACGGCTTGACCGATTCTTATGAAATTATTTATGTATATTTAGTAAGTCTGAGAATCGGCTACTATCTATCTTTCAAACCCCTTAATGTTAAGGTACACGCCTTTTTTATGAAACAGCATACAAAAATACATACAACTCTTAATTTTCACCCCTCTACGATCAACCCCTATTTTTTATTATAGTAGATAGTTATTTTTATTGAACTAAAAAAATGTTTCCAAGAAATAATATACATGGGAAAAGAACGTTTGCCGGGTGGCAGCTAGTATAATATAAAAGTTAGACATAATTTTGTTGGTTTTGGTATTATCAAGCTCTTAAACTCTTCTCAAAACTCCATCTCTCATCATTCGTAAGAAACATTTTCGTTCGAAAGTTTTTTTAACTGCCTTGCGATTCTGTAACACAAAATCACACAAAATCAATAAACTACAAGCTCCCACCTTATCAGAATGCCAAATCATAAAATGACTGCTTCACGACTGATTTGAGAGCGACCGCAGATGCGAAAACCGCTGTGTGAGTTCGAAAAGTGAGTTATAGAATCGCAAGGCTGTGCAAATCAGACTACCACGAAAAAGTTTTAATTTTACAGTCTATGGCACAAATGTGGCTAGTAAAAAAATCGCTTCAGTAGATCCAGAGATTACAAACCACTACAAATTAATATTAATATATAGGCACGCTTTATCATTTAACAACCTTAGTAGAATTCTTCTCTAAAACGGTATCCGAAATGGGTAGTTCCTGTGTGTGTCACCCATTCTGAAAATAATTGATTGTGTTAGTATGGTGAAGGTTAACCTGAGGAAACCAGAACAACAATCAGAAACCGCGGTACTAAAATACTATGAGTAAAAATAATAATTTGGAGTCAAGTAGACAGCAGTCTCCATATTCAAACATTTCTTGTTGCATCTTCTGTCTCTTTTTATCATAGCGTAAACACAATTTGATAGAAAGAGACAAAATAGTGGTTTTGTTAAACAAGATAGATTTAGTTGCCATGAATAATATATTATACTTTGATTGATTGATTGATGGTGTTGCTATTAAAAAAGTTCTCCACCGTAAAAGGGACAAATTTGACTTATTTGAGGGCAATAATAAATAAATTGTGCGTGTACTGGTGTACACACGTAAGAAGTGAAACTTCTTTATGACCTTATTAGAAACTATTTCTTTAAACAAAGTAAATTTTGATACACTGCCTAGCATACAATTTACAAATTAATTGCTGCAAATTGCGATTTCAAGTCGAAAATGTAATCCGTTGTCAAACTTCAAAGTCAAAAACATACTATATGTCATATTTTAACGCCGATAAAGAAGTTTGACTTCAAAAAGCAACATGGCGCGTAACGGAAAAATTAAATTCTAAATTTTTTTCCAACCCCGATAAAGAAGTTTCACTTCAAAAATGCTACGTATTTTTTACGTTTTACCTACAAAAAGGTAAATCTAAATATTTACATACTCAAGTGACCGAATAAAAAATTACAAATATTTCAATATCACGAACAATGTATCGAATTAACTTTAATTACTTTATTTTATTCTTTAGCTGGCATCACTGCCTACTAATTTGTTAGTTAACCTTATTAAAAAAATAAATCTCTACTTCTGCGTTTTTTACTGTTTGTGACGAAAAGGGACGTAATTATCATTAAACCACTAATGTGGAGCACCTAAAATGTATACATTAACTAACAAGAAACTGTATGTATAGACTCGTATTGAAATTGAAAAATGTGCCCGGCCAAAAAGGTTTGCCATCTCTGACATGTCTGAGAATGACAGCTGTCAGAATTCTACGGAATTAAAAATCAGAGTAGTTATAGTTTGTATATACATAAGCTTGTAAATAACATAACAAAATACGACGAACGTTTTTCAATAGAATAATTAAATTGCAAGCCCTGTCCCAAGGTTTCACGTGTCACAGATGTTGAAGTCTTTCCTTAGATATAATTTAGCAATGCGTGGCCGACCACAGACTGACATTGTCAAGGAGGTTGGCTCCCAGTGGATGCAAAGAGGTCAGTCGGCGTACTGGATGAAGGAGGTCTACATCCAGAACCCAAAGAAGCTGATGATGATGATAAGAAATTTAATAATTAATTACCCTTTCATAGTAAAATTCCGCTTATTTCTATTTAGGGCGTTGAGCGCAGATATATGAGAATTTTCAAGTTTCACGGCTTGCGCTTGCAGGTTGCTCCAAAGATGGCGACCAGTCGATGCCTTTACCACCACACTATGGTCTAAGTGCAGTTGGTAACTGAAATAATGTGTTATTGTAAATATTAAATGACAATAAATTACATAGACAAAATATATATTTCATTGATATTGTTAAATGAAAATTCTTACTTGACAATTAACATATCAAACTCATTTAAGAAGAACAGTGTGCACAGTTTTGTCTCCTTCGTAAAAGCGTAAGAATTATTTGGTAGAGAGAGAATAATTTAAAACAGTTCAAACTATACAATTAAACTAAGTTGACAATTAATTTAAATAAACTAATTAGAAGTGCCCTAAACATAATTAAATATATTTAACGTGCATTTATTATATTATCTCCGAAACAATATTTTTTAACAATAAATCATTAATTTATATATCTATGATTCCAAAATTTCAATGAAATAGACATTGATATTTTGGAATAAAAAAGTTTAAGTATTATCAGAACAGTGGCACTAAAATCTTTAGGGCCTTGGCCTCAGATTTCTGTATCCGTTTCAAGATCGTTTCTATTTTCTAATACGCAAGTAGATGATCAGCCTTCTTTGCCTGACACAGGTCGACTTCTGGGTCTAAAAATCTGGAAGACCCATGTACAGTTAAAGCAAGCTGTTTTCTGTCGAGGATCCTTCTCTTAGGTTGAAAGAGTAGCATCTGCCTTCCTCCACAACCATACTTGACAGCTGTAACCATCCCAGAGTCACCTACCTGATCAAGAGCTGTGCAGGTGTAACATCCAACCCAGCAGCCATTGAAAGCACCAAAGGATCATCTATCACTGGTGATAATCCACTTGTATACTCCAACGGCGTCCCCTTTGAACCCAGGACTCCGTAGCAGCTTAGCTTAACATCCCTGGATTGGCAGAACTCGTCCAGGCGGTATTGTGTCAGGTAGGGATGACACTCAATCTGGGGAAACGTCTGGTTTTGTCATGATGAGATATTAAAATGATTAATTTGGGAACGGCACAGGTTTTGACAGTTTCAGTACCGGCGTACGTGGGCGGATCGTGAATTTGTGGGGCTCTGGGCTATTACGGGGAAATCCCCCGTAATAAAAAGTACACCAAAGTAAATCAGTTGAGAACAAAATGTTTTTTTGGATTCTCTATAGCGGATTGGATCTGCTTCCTGGCGCTCTGGCACTGGCTCTTGATGACAGGGCTAATTTAATAAATAAAAAAAACGCGTGTACACTGTGCCGCCGTCGGCGGAGAGCCTGGACCGCAAGCCGGGCATCTGCCCGACGCCTCGGATGAACCAAGAAACCGCCCAACGCTCCTCGTCTCCATCATACCAGTATCATCCTACATTAGCAGGTCTCGAACCATCTGCCAGCGGGGGCTCTCCCCAAACTGGCCGATATCCGCCCCAGAAGAGCAAAGAAGCAAATCTATAAGACCACCCAGGTCACAAGTAAGAGCTAGAAGTAACACAGACCAAGAAACTTACTTGGTTGACAACTGGTTTAATTCTTCCCTTATCAAGGATTCTATCGATTTGCGCGGAGTTGAAGTTGCTAACACCAACCCGTTTAACCAAGCCCTTTTTCACCAGCTTCTCCAGACCGAACCAGGCGTCTAAGTAGTCCGATTCGCTGTATTGAATGACATTAGCGATCTTCGGTATGGGATCGTCACCTTCCTGAAAGATAAGATTGGTTCGTTAATATGGTCTTCCCTGTAATAAACATAGTAGCACTATACAGCTTGCCAGCCAGTGGACTGTGAAATGTGTGTTTAAAATTTATATGTATTCAATGTCAGGAGTATCTGAATAGTATTTGTATGAGCAAGCTGCACTAGATGACTAAATATATGAGAGGGTTAGACGTAAGTACGGGATGTCTGCCCCAAGAGACCTAAGGTGGCAGACGGAACCCTACGGGTAGGATCAAAGGTTCGAGGTGGTGGGATTATCTCAAAGCTATCGGGCTCACCACGATTATTAAGGGCTTGAAGTCTTCGCCACTTTGAGAGTAAGCGAGAAATGAATAAGACGGAGCAGTGGCGTAACAATAGGGTGGCAGGGCTGGCAAAATGCCACGGGCCCCCAACCCAAGAGGGCCCCTGCCCAAGACATATTATGTTCTATGGAAGGATGTGAAGTCTCCAATAAGCATTGGGCTAGCGTGGGGACTACAGACCATTCCCTCTCGCCTAAGAAAGGAGGCCTATGGCCCTTAGTGGGACATATACAACGTGTAATTGAGTACGCTGAAAATCTCGAAGTTTATTAAAATTAAACTGAGTACAACGTGACGATTTTTAATGATATGGTCCCATCAAGATAATTTGCCGCGAGCCCCAGATGGTATAGTTACGCCACTGAGATAGAGCAATATTCAAATCTGATTTATTATTCAAAGACATTCTCTTAAATACTAATAACACCTATTCACATATACATGATATTATTCTAGTGTTGGTGTATCGCACCTTCAGCTATGAAAAATAGGACCTGCTACCCTGCCACCCCCAGGCTGTACTATTAGGTCCTTACATATGAAATTGGCGTTTTACGTTTTGGCCACTTTGACCTCAAATATCTCCTCTTTGGTTAAGAATTCCAAATTAAAATTTGTACAGCTATTTACTCATGTATTTGTGCTTCGATGACCGTCATTCATTTGTTTTTTTCTTCTATTTTTTTCTGTTTGCGTCACTCATTTTACAAAATGGAAAACTTAAAGTATCGCATTATTTACGAGTACGAGTTTCGCCGTGGTACTAGTGCTGCGGAAACGACTCGAAGGGTGAATGGCGGTCATGTTGCAAAAGAAAACACAGTTCGTTTTTGGTTCCAACGTTTTCGTTCTGGAAATTTGGACCTGCAGAACAAGCCCCGTGGACGGCCTGAGACCCAAGTTGATAATGATGTATTGAAGGCTATTGTGGAAGCGGATCCATCGCAAACCACGTCCGAGTTAGCTGCAGGCTGCGGTGTTAGTGATAAAACTGTTTTAATTCACTTGAAGCAAATTGGGAAGATTAAAAGCTTGAAAGATGGGTACCTCACGAATTGACTGAAGCAAACCGGCAAACGCGCGTCGACTGCTGCGTTACATTACTGAACCGGCACAATAATGAAGGTATTTTAAACCGAATCATTACCTGTGATGAAAAATGGATTCTTTATGATAATCGGAAGCGCTCAGCGCAATGGTTGGATCCTGGCCAGCCAGCCAAATCCTGCCCCAAGCGAAAATTAACCCCAAAAAAGTTACTTGTAACCGTTTGGTGGACTAGTACCGGTATTGTTCATTGCAGTTTTCTCAAATCTGGCCAGACTATTACGGCTGATGTCTATTGTCAGCAATTGCAAACCATGATGGAAAAGCTAGCGGCTACACAACCTAGGCTGGTCAATCGCTCCACGCCACACACTGCACAACAGACGGCTACCAAATTAGAAGAGCTTCAATTGGAATGTCTAAGACATCCTCCGTACTCCCCGGACCTTGCTCCAACAGATTACCATTTTTTTCGAAATTTGGACAACTTCTTGCAAGGGAAAAAATTTAACTCTGATGGGGCAGTCCAAATCGCCTTCACAGATTTTATTGATTCCCGTCCGACTGTTTTTTTTAGTAAAGGGATCAATTAACTACCTATGAGATGGCAAAAGTGCATAGAAAACAATGGTTCATACTTTGATTAATTAAATATATTATATTTAAAAATATTCGACTTTTTGTTCCTCCCATACAAAACGCCAATTTCATATGTAAGGACCATATATTTGTTTATCCGGCTTAAACTTGTGAGGAATCAAACAGGGCTCAGAGACATTTAGAGACGAACACGTCTGTCTGCTCTACAGCATAATACTGAGCCAGATACAACGCACACACATTACACAAATAAAACCTTATTCCTGTTTTTCTTTCCATAATTTTTTAAATTATTATTATTTAGTGTGTTTCTGTGTGTGTGTTTCGTTAGTAATAAATGTTATGTCTATGAATGTCCATCGTCACGTGTTTGTGGCTATTCATGTTACACCACGGGCCTAGTGAGAAGATTGAAAAGTAAGTCTCAAGTGGTATACAGTGAAATAATAGGACAAGAACAGAGTGTCTTCTCCTTAATAGAGACTGTAAGTAGTGTTATTGAACACATGTTAAATATCCTTTTTAGTACATTAGGTTGGACTAAAATTACTAATAAGAATAAGTCTAGTTAGATTACATCGTAATGTTCCATGATGTCTCAGTGAAGAGACAATGTATGAAAAATAAAGTCATACTGCTAAATCTAAACATCTTAAGACAGAAATCGACAGCGTGTGTCAGTCACTGGAGATACCACGGGATTATTTATGCGGTTGAGATGCGGTTCAGTTTAGGTGTCTAAACTGAATCGCATTTTTCGTACTATGACATCCTTAAAAATTAAAAGTACGAAGGGTAAAGAGATCATAAATCGGCTCGCAATCACAAGCCATATGAAGGACCACCTGGTCTGAATAAAAACAGCAGCAGCCCTCAGATTTCTGTATCTGTTCTATGGTCATTTTTTTTCTTAATAGGCAAGTAGTTCTTCTGTGTCTGACACAAACTAACTTTGAGCGAAAAGCATGCCTTCCTTACAATGTTTCCCTTCACTGTACAAGCGAAGAAACACACAAAGCAAAGCCCAGCCCTGCGATTCTGTAACTCACTTTTCGAACTCACACAGGGGTTTTCGCATCGGCGGTCGCTCTAAAATCAGTCGTGAAGCAGTCATTTTATGATTTGGCATTCTAAAAAGGTGGGAGCTTGTAGTTTATCACGACTGATTTTAGAGCGACCGCCGATGCGAAAACCCCTGTGTGAGTTCGAAAAGTGAGTTACAGAATCGCAGGGCAGCTTGGGTTTAAATCTATGACTTCAGACGAAAAAACTTATAAAAAATGATAGCAACAAGTAAATTGAATATATATAATAATTAATTTACCTTAAACGACATAGGATTATGTATTAAATACAAATCAAAATAGTCTAGCCCCATAGCTTTGAGGGACATTTTGCATGCTTTCTCCACGACATCACGACGGTGGAATGTACTCCATAACTTCGATATTATGAAGAGGTCCTCACTAAAATATGAATATCCTTTATTATACTACAAATTGTAGATGACAATATTATATAATAATAATTACAAATACTTATTTGCAATAAAGTGGTACGTTCAGATTGATTAATTATAAAAAAACGCTCAATCAGTCATATAAAAATAGGCATGCAAATGCCATATTAATATACATAATGTCATAATTCAAATTCAAAATCGTTTATTCATTTAGGTAACACAATGTAGGGTAAATTAAATGCTTCTAATTTTACAATTACTGCCAGTTCTCAAATCAAGGGCGTAGAACGGACGAGAAGAACTGGCAATAAACTCTCCGCCACTCTTTTTAATAGCCAAGTTTTTTGTTTTACAAAATGTTTTTTGAGCTGCAACCATTACACCATGTTCCACATCTTTAAGTGATTAATGGTTAATAAATAATTAGAGAGAGAGACAAGTCGACACATGGACGCCGCCACAAGCAATGACATTTAAGCGAGCATAACGATCCTTGAGCCAAGTTAGCCGAAAATAATAATAATATAAATTATACTGTAATAATTTGATACCACATGGATCACGGTTTGTTCCCACTTTATATTATAACAGTAACATTAAGAGCTGTATCAACAGTTAGTTTAAGCTATTCACTAGTATTGAAAAATTCAGTTAATAAAAGATTTAAGTTGGCGCATGGTACATAGTACCAGAGAGAGGGTAATACTCGTATTGCAATGCCAGCATTAAAGGTATACTGCCACAGGACCAATCCTTACATATTAAGTTTTATATTTATAAATTTTAAGCTATTGCATAGCTTCTATCGCGGGCCTCGGGCGTGGAGACCGAATCCAGAAATTCCGTAACGAAAAAACCTTACGCGTTAGAGCGGGACAGAACGCATACTGCGTATTCCCATCTCTCTGACGAGATCGGTGCAGCCGGTGCGCGTTAGAGTGAGACAGACTATATAGGCGAGTAAGTCTGAGTCTGGTAGAGTGGTAGATTGAATTAATTTATCAAAGAAAAAACTTGAAAAAAATACTGCATAAATATAAAATAAATTAATAATAAATTATAATTGCATAAGTTGATAAAAAATGCTGTGCAATAGCTTTACCGCGGCATCCCCGAGTGCCACACGCTTTTTTTTAATTATTAATATTACTATGTAAAGAAAGTAGTAAACGCTGTATATTTGATTTTTATGATAAACATTATTAGATATCATAGTTATTAGCATCTAAAATATTGTTTGAATAAAGGATTTTTCACGAGAAAAAAGAAAATTAAGTCAACATAATATTACTTATTAGCCATAATTATTGTGTAGGCTAGATTGTAATTAATATCAAGATTGTTATTAATAGAGTGACTATATATGTATGTATATAAGTTACAATTTAATGATATTTGTACATAATATGCTTCGAAACTCGTGTGTCAACTTTCGTATGTGTATGTTTCTCCACAAATCTCTCGGAAACGTATATCATAGCGTAATAATTGAATTCCGATTGATTTAGATTTTATATATTTGCCCCAGCAAACGTCGTTATGCCTTAATATGATTTTACTTAGCCAACACATAAGAAACATTTTGCTACGCTACCCCATAGACACTTTTCCCTTTTCCGGAATAAAAACTGGTTTAAAAGAAACTTGTGTGTACTCATGTACACGCGTTAGAAGTTATACTTCTTCGGCGTAACAAGATAAAAATCTTTTCAACAATTTTTTTCTACTTTAGTAGAAAAAACTACACTAAGAATAAAAAAAACTAAAATGTTGACTATAGCTAACCTCAGGGTGTCGGTTTTTTGTGACGGTCTGCGCGCACATCGTAAAAATTTACTCTCATAATTTTTCCCTAACGCGCCAAAAGAAGCCATAACTTCAAAAATACTTGAATTGGTCCAGCCGTCTTTGAGATTTGCGCTTAGCAACATATTATGCGCTTTTTTAACGCAACATATTATATAGATCAAGTATATATAATATATTTTGAAAATTAAAAAAATATATATATGAACTCCAGCCTGGGACAATATTCGACATACTAACCACCAATAAATTACTTACCGTCTGACAGTTCCATCGTTAATTTTCTCGTTTATAGCTTCGCCAATCTCTTTTTCGTTGCCATAAATGAATGCGCTATCTATGGTACGGTAGCCGAGGTCTATGGCGGCACAGATTATATACATCGTTAGACTTTTGTGTAACTGAAATAAGTTTATATTAATTAATTGAAAAAGTATGAACCCGAGTGAGAAATTATTTAAAAGAAACATTTTTTTATGTAATAGAAGGCAGGATGTAAGTAATATTGACCCACGATCACTCACATTGCCACAAGGCTCGCAAGTGTGTTGCCGGCCTATTAAGAATTGGTCGCTCTTTTCTTGAAGGTCCCTAAGTCGAATGGGTTCGGAAATACTTCAGTGGGCAGCTGGTTCCACATATTGGTGGTAGCGGGAAGGATTGCCCTCACATGGGTCATTGCAATGGACTGTGTGTGCCCATTTTAATTTTATTATTTAACTAACACAATAATAACCATATGGACCGATTGTCTGCTTGAATAAATAGTTATGACTATCTGGTCATCATCTACTTACCAGAGCAGTACCGACTCCAAGCGCAGGCATCATAGACCCATCATTCAATTCAACATATTTCAAGTCAGTGAACTTTCCGTACTTCTTCGCTTCCCTTAACTCTTCTATCCGTTCTTTCAACTCTTCTTCACTCATGTTAACTTCGGGCGCTCCCTCTTGCCTAGGCGTGTCTGATTTTATCTTCTTTGGTAAGGTAACTTTCTTCTGAAAATAAACTATGTAAGTCACAATAATGTATTCTACAAATATAAATAAAATTAGACATTGTATGGTGTTGGTTTTTTCATTTATTTTAAATTTGCCGCTTCTTCTAGTGCGATCTTCTGTCGAAGGTTGGCGATCATGATGGCTACTTTAATTTTGGATGCCATGCTTCTGAACAGAGACTTGGTGCTTTGATCAAACCATTGTCTTTATTTAAGAAGCTCGAAATGTTATGTATAATTATATTTTAGAAATGTCCTTATTCATGCAAAGAAACATACATATTTTTAAGTCGAAGTAAGAAGTAGACATGGGGAAAAGCACCTTTTATATGGGAATTAAGGTTTACAATAAATTACCAAAAGAATTTAAAGATCTTCCGACTAGAGTCTTAAGCTACTTAGTTTATTACTTTTGGAAAAATTTACTAATTAATAAATGATTATTTGCGTGAGACATTGTAGTTGATATAATTTTATATATATATAGACTTTCTCTTTCTGTCCATTTCTGTTAAATTGTGTTTATGCTCTTATAAAAAGCAATAGAGTACTTTAACAATGTGCAATTTGACAAAGGACCATGGTTAATTACGTGGAATAAATGTTTTATTATATCGTATTATAAATCTGAATTTAACTAAATTTGAATTTGTGATTTCCCTTTACTATCTTTAAGAAATAAAATATTTTATTTTTTTTATTTTATTTTATTTATTAATTTTCTGGCAACGGTGAAAAACAATTAAAAACTAATAGATTTCCAAGGAAAAATAGAGAATTATGCTAAAGTATGTAAATGAGGTACAGGACAAAATTAAATGACGTTTGACCAACAGAAAATGGAACTAAGTGGACGTTATAGGAAGCAGAAGAGAGAAATGGACTGAAGATGTATCAAGTATCCAAGAGAAGGCAAAAGAAGGCGGGGATGTCAAAGAGATGGCATACGATTGAGCAGAATAGAATAGGCCTATGTCAGTAGACAAACTGGCCATTTTTTAAAAATAACGTCAAAGAATAAAGGATTTATTTATATAAGAAAATAAATTTCGTTTTTAATTTTAATAATAAAATCGTGATCTGGCATTTAGTTAAAAATAAGAATACTATTCGATTTCCATAACTATTTTTTTATACGTTTGATTTCTATCATGGAATATTCTTTATAGGTGCATTAAGAATGGCGCTAAATCACCTGCATCATGACCCCACCTCACATACACACCCTCACTTTCACACCATCACACAACACAGTCAAATTGGGTATTACGTATTTAATATTATATTGGTGTTTTCCACCATCAATATTTTTGTTTAATTGTTTTTTATTGTATATAATTTATGTTACCTGTAGAAATACGAAATAAATAAATGTTTTAATATTATAAGAGACTTACTTTTTATTTTATTTTGTTATAATTTTTTAAACTGGTCACTTGTGTTGACAAATGCGATATGATTTTGGGCCGACAAATTCGACATTATCAGTACTCATGTTTCAAAGATAATGTTAATAGATAATGCATTTGAAAAATATTGCATATATATGTTACGAAATATAGCTTTTCTAGGACACGACACGCCCTATACTGCCGCCCTGTACTTTATAGTTTGAACCTATAATTTGTATGGCAATTAAGGTTTACAATAATTAATATATCTTCCGACTTGAGTCTTTAAAAATCGACGTGGTGTATTACTTTTGAAAAAATGTACTATTCAATTAATGATTATTTGCGTGACGTTCAAGTATTACGTAACGAATTTTTTATTGCGTTATTGTTAATATTATTTTAGACTTTCCAGTACTTTACACCACATAATGGTGAGTTTTAGGTATAAAGAGCCACTGGGTAGTCACGAAACGTTTTACTATTGGGTAAAGAAAAACGTTACGGCGCGTAACATGGGGGGGTCAATAATCTCCAAAAATTGCGTGACGTATACGAACGCTTCCTGAGACTGTAGTTGATATAAATTTAATAAAGTATGATATGATATGTACAATGCAAATAATATAAGAATTGACCAATTCATATGACTAATAATGTATAATGTAAAATTCCTTTAAAGACAAATTTGCAGAATATAAGCCCCTTATAAACAAATCAATCTCATTCCACTATTGGAACTACGTTAGTTAGCAAATTGTCTCTTGTCAAATTGGCATTACGCTGTTATTACACAAATAATTAGTACAATTTGACAATATAGTGTTTATGAATACGAGCTGTGTTACCGTCTCCTGGGTTCTGCATCACAAGTAGACAGAAGAAGAAGACAGAGATCAATGTAATTTTTGAAGTTATACTTCTTCTAGGCGCGTTATGAAAAATTGATGAGAGTGAAAATTTACGATGCGCGCGCACCGTGACACAAAATTAACAGAATGAAGTTGCCCACGGAAGATGCTACGGCATTGGACATAATTTAAAAACAACATTCGAATAATAATAGAATTTATGTTACACTTAATGTATGAGAATAATAATAAATATTTATTTATTTAATTATTCAAATGTAAACTGAACTTTATTGACTACAATGACTCCTTTTCCAGTCTTTGATTATTTAATTGTAATTAACTATTTGCATGCAATCAAAAACTATTTTTAATAATGCCAAAGAAGTATAACTTCTTACGCACATAAGTACACGCACCCTATTTTTTAATTGTTAATAGTTTAAAGTATGTAAGTTAGCCTATAATTATTGTTTGGTATTTATGTATAAATAAATAGTATCCAGCTGATACACTTTGTAATTCAATTATAACAATTATTGTTATAAACTAATTTAATTAAACAATTATTGTTTTGAACTCCGGCCAACCAACATAGTTTATGTGTGGCAGAAAACATATTTTATTTCCAGTGTCTCAATTATTAGCTGGAATTTGTCCTGTTATCATGCCAAATTCCAGTAAATTGAATCGGAATACTGGATTGTCATCGGTTTTACGGAGTGTCTGGTTGAAAGTTTTTAGATTTAGACCATTATTTAAAAAAATCTATTGATGAAATCACTTTTACATCTGTTTTGAGCTTCGTTTTGTAATTTATTGTCATACTAATCTGCCTTGCGATTCTGTAACTCACTTTTCGAACTCTCACTGCGGTTATCGCAGCGACGCGGCGGTCGCGCTCAAATCAGTCGTGAATCAGTCTGAATTCATGTTAGTTAAACTATTATAATATAATATATATATTATATATATTATATATATATATATATATATATATATATATATATATACAATTAGCGGAACAAGATTTTTCTCCTTTCTATTAGTTTAAGCAATTAAACTAAAATTAGATTTAAATTAACTTGTACGCTATTTTTTACCTTGTTAATTTGTTAATTACTACAATTAATAAAAAAAATCAATTTGTATTTTTTTATTACAAAAAAATTAAAATGTGCATTGTATATATATATATATGTGTAAGCTATAAACAAACATGAATTAATATAAAATATCGTTTTAGCACAGCTTACCTCAAACAAAGCGATTTTTTCAGACACAGATCCACTCCTGGGCTTCTCCTTGATATCAATAATACCTTTCCTCTCCAGGTCCATGCGTTCAAATGACACCATCCGAACAACCATATCTCTTACTCTTCCCTTGACAGCATCTCCCAAATCCACTTCAGCATACGACAGCTCTCTTTTGATTTCAATTCTGGGTTCTGTGTTTATATCTATTTTTGGTTTTTCTGTATAACTATTAGTCCAAGTAAATGCGTTGACATCTTTGTCTGATTTTGGTTGTTTTAGAACCTCATCCACGATTTTTGGTAAATCAGCGTTTTGGATTTGATTCCGCGAGAGTTTTCTTTTATATACATCTGCCTCTTTTTGCTGTAAATTTTACAATTTTTTTTATATTTTTTTTTAATGGACAATTCACACCAATTGACCTAGTCCCATGCTAAGCTGGTGAAGCTTGTGTTATGAGTACTAGGCAACGGATATACATACATATTATAGATATATAGACATATAAATACATATTTAAACACCCAAGACCTAAGCACAACACCAAATGCTCATCACATCGATGTTTGTTTCAGCCGGGGATCGAACCCGGGACCCATGGATTCGCAGTCAGGGGTACTAACCACTAGACAAATGAGCCGTCAAATTATTAGATTTGTTGATTTCAATTGTTGGGAAACATTCTTTAGTATAATAGCCGCGATGTCGTTCGGGCTTTGGCATTATTTTCCAAAATATATGTTGCAGCTATGGCGTAACTGTAATAATGACTAGAAAAATAATAATAATAAAGAAATAGTATTAGCGGTAGCCCAGAGAGATCAGCCTCTAGTGCCTGACACACGCCGTCGACTTTTTGGGTCTAAGACATGACGGTTTCCTCACGATGTTTTCCTTCACCATTCAAGCAAATGTTAAATGCGCACATAGAAACAAAGTCCATTGGTGCACAGCCGGGGATCGAACCTCCAACTTCAGGTATGAGAGTCGCGCAGAAGCCACTAGGTCAACACTACTTTGATAATGATAGCGTTATATATTTAACTTACCTCAAATAAAGCTATTTTAGACAACACGGACCTTTTAGGCACATTCTCTACCATTTCTGGTTTATTTTTAATATTGCTGTAGTCTCTAGAGTCTAATCGACTAATAACTCTGATAACCTTTCCCTTCAGTGCAATAATATCTTCTTCTTTGGTATTCGATATTAATTCTTGTATCTTTTCTTTATTTCTTCTTCGCTGTTCATGGATATCTTCTAATTCACTATTTTTTTCGGGGATTTTATGTTGTTCCTGATTTACTTGATCGATATTCTTATCTGTAGAGTTCTGTTCAACTTCTGTGTTTGGTATATCTGTATTTAAACTAGTAGCTAAATTCTCCTTGCTTTCTCGTATCATTGGTAAAAAGTCTTCTATGGGAGTCTCTGGACGATTAAATAAGGCACCTGGATGACCTAGGATAGGGATTTGTTGATCTCCACTTTTTATTGATTCATTGTCTGGCAAATATTTATTAATGTCAGGCATGGCTGTTATTGGAGATTCGATTTTGAATTCTTGAGGTGCTTTATGTATCTCAGAGTTTTCATGATCACTAGAGGAATCAGATTTATCAATATTTTGACTCGATTGATTGACAGACTCCGAAATACCATTTACTGTGTCTATTGTTTCTGTGTTACAAATGTTTGGCTTCAAAACATCTGTTGAAATATTTTTAGACTCAGAAATCTCTTGATCCAAATTATCAAATACGTTTTTGTCAATTGTATCGTAATTATTATTTCGGTGTGTCTCTTTTACTTCATTATTAGTTTCACTATCTTGTGAATTGTTTATTGAAACAGTTGTCGGTTTTTCAGTCAAGTCAGTTGGTTGGGTTTGATCTATATGGTAAGATTCTATCGTATACGATACTTCCATTTCTAAACTTTTAGGTTCGTCTGCTGATTCCATATCATCTTGATTTTTACGAATTAACATTGATGTTTCTTTACATACCATGTCCTGTTGTACAATTGTGTCCATTGCATGAGGTACGGTACCTTCAATAGGCTGTTCATCTATAGGAGACTTGATTTCATTGTCATCTAATGCTTTTACTTCTGTGGTTTCCGTAATAGGTGTTGCGTTATAATGTTCACTATCTGGAATTTGCTTTTGAGCCTCAACAACCTTTTGAACCAAAGCGTTCGAAGATAGATTATCAATATGACTTAGACTGCGTCTAACACTGCTTTTTGTTTCAATTTCTTTTAGTTGTACATTAGGACTGTCGATAGATTGACTCTTTTTGAGAATTCTTTTCTCTTCAGTTTCAAGAGCATTTTGTACAGAAGTATTGTGAGATACATATTCATCATCTTCCATTTTATTTTTCTCTGTATTTGAAATTACTGGATCAAATTTTGATATACCTAATGAATCGTTTGTATCAGATCCAGTATAACTGTTTGAGTTTTCCACGTTTTCTCTTTCTGTGTTTTCTTGTTTCTCAGTATCTGTTGTAAATGAATTATCGACGGATTCGGATTGGGTTCTGTTTCTTTCGCCTGCTTTTGCTTGCACTCTAAGGAATAATTTACTATAATGTTGTGGATTTTGTATAGATGAACGTTTTTTATAAGCGCGTCTCCAATTAGTTAGCTTTGTAGCCTCAATGTCATGTTCGCTTTTTCTTTTAAGCATAGGTATTCTACTTTTTAGTTTTTCTACATTAATTGGTTCTACTTTATTTTCATCATAATCGTGTATTATTTCTTCAAATTTCATCTCAATTTTTTCTGGATCTTTAACGAAAGCATTTGAATGTCTATCAGAGTTTTGTTTAATCTCTTCGAATAATTTGTCGAATTCTTCTTCTGTTCTTGGCGAGACGACAGTTTTAGGATCTGTATTCTCCTTCTCTGCTTTTGCAGTTGTGACGAGTTTTTTCATATCTTTTAATCGAGGGATTGATGACTTCCGCCTTTGTACTGGTATCTGTAAAATGTAAGGTTGCTGATATAAAATAAGAATCAATCAACTTAATGTACTACTTGCCATTATGTGTGGGACAATACGCGAACTTTAGATTGTACCACCAAAACATGTTGTACCATATAAATGCAAATAAATTATTATTATTACGTATATGAGTATGCTATGTTTAATATTAAACAATAACCTAAATAAAATAATCTTTATTGCACAGATGATTGATACATACTTCTTCCTCCATTTTCTTTTTATCTTCTACTGGGATCAGCTGGCGCACAGCTTTCTTTAACATTGGAATTTTAGTTTTATTTCTCTTCTCTTCATGCTGTGATTTTTCTGAAACAATATTTATTTTGTTATTTAGTTACACAGCACCCACCGATTGATTTATAAGCTATGGAATGAGATAACAACGAGAGGATCGCTGTTTAAAGGCACGGGTATTCGATCAGGAAATTGCTGTACGCAATTACCTTCTAGCCTTCGACCTGTATCTACTACTACAGCAGTACACAGAAATTTCAAAGTACCAGTCATGTAAGAGGATGGAACATCCCTTCAGTTAACCCATCAGAAAAAATAAAATCAGTGACGCTACAACCTCTTTAGATCTTGGCCTCAGATTTCTGAATCTGTTTCATGATCATTTTTAAATCTAATAGGCAAAAAGGCCTCCAGTGCCTGATACACACCGTCGACTTTTTGGGTCTAAGACATGTCGGTTTCCTCACGATGTATTCCTTCACCGTTCGAGCAAATGGTAAATGCGCACATAAAAGAAATTCCATTGGTGCACAGCCGGGGATCGAACCTACGACCTCAGGTATGAGAGTCGCACGCTGAAGCCACTAGGCCAACACTGCTTTCAACTCATCAGAAACTGACAAAAAATAACAATGGAATGGAACTCATCTGCAATCGATGGACAACGCATGCGAAATATAAATATGTTTTACTCATTATTACCCACCATTATTACATGCCAAATGTACATTGTTAACAGGCAAAATAATATTTGATACAATGATTTTTCAAGCTATAAGTCACTGGGTTTTCGGCTAATCCAAATGAAAACAGGACATTTTTAACAAGATTTCTCTTATAAAATAGTTTTTATACATAGTTAACTTCAATGTGAATTTAATGTGTAGTTGAATAACTCTCTTTAGAACAAATTAATATACTTTTAATAGAAAATAAAACAGCTTTAAACGCAACGCACGTCATATGTGACAAGAATGACAAAAGTAAACAATCTATGGCGATATAGTTTTGAAGTCTGACCATTGACTAAAGAGTTGATTATAAAGATCATCCAACTCTTTACATAAAAATCGTCTTTGATGGTAGTAATGTGTGTAGGAAGTACTGTTCCTCCAAACTAAACAAAGGATCTTCAGTCTAACCACTGAACCACTGGCTATTTTGAAGTGTGACTTCTTATGGGAGAGTAAACCGCTTCGTTACGAACGCAAGTCTGTCTAGCTTCCCTTTCTCTCATGCATACATCAGCGGTAGACAGGCTCCTCCTCTCTCACTCTAACCCGCAGCGCTAGCCAATTTTTTTTACTTTAACAAAGTTTTTGAAGTAAAACTTCTTTAGGCGCGACTAGGGAGTAACTCAGACTTTTAAACTGTCCGTCCCTAATACTACGTATATATAATAATAACTTTTTTATTGACTCTTTGGTGGTGAAAAATACATGAGGTGGTGATTTTTAATGAAAACTTACGAGAAACTTTCTTTTCAATTTCCACAGGTTTTCCTTCGGTTCCATTTTCCAATTTATCCATTTCCAAAACAGGTTCCTTAATCCCCTCATCCTGCAATGATATTATTTTAATTAGGAATCACGTTAGGAAGGCACGACCCCTCTATCTCAAAAATTTACATTTTTACATACACAAGCCAAAAAGTATTAAGACAAATTCAAATTCAAAAATCATTTAATCATATGAGTAACACATTGTACACTTATGACTTGTCAGCAAAGAAATACATATTAATGCTTCTAATTTTACATTTACTGCCAGTTCTCAAATCAAGGGTGTAGAACGGAAGAGAAGAACTGGCAATAAACTCTCCGCCACTCTTTTTAATCGCCATGTTTTTTTTTTACACAACGTTTGTAAGGAGCTGCAACCATTAAACCATGTTCCACATGACATCTTAAGTAATTAATAATAATAACATAAATTAAAAACAAAGAGTTGTCCTCTATCAGCAGGAGGCATGGTGAAATAGGAGCACGCACTTACATTCTCGTGGGAACAACACGCAAACACAAGAATATCCATAGCGCAAAATAACCTACATTATGAACATACCCCACGCTCACTTACACACCCTGACACACCATTACACAACACAGCCGAATAATTTATTACTTAGTGAAATGTATTTAATAATTTTTATAGATTTTTTCCTTTCGTATGTTTGAACCTTTTTGTTTATATGTATTCCATATTTGGCTATATCTTTAGTCTGTTTTTTGTTATGTATTGTGTTAGCTGTAGGATTACGAAATAAATAAATCGTATTTTTATGAACTTTAAATCTACTATCACTTTTAGAAGCGATTAATTTTTTTTGTTTTTCTCTAATAGGTTCTGCTAGAGTATTATAAACTTCTAGATTTGTTTAGAGAAATGAAGGTATTTCCTTCCTTTGAACAGGTGTTAACTAATCGGGGATTACTTTTTTTTACTTTTAAACGGATATAAATGTTTTTTTTATATTATTTACATAAGTAACTAGACATTTCCTATAAAACGGAAATATATATAAAACACCGAAAGGGAAAATGGGCGGGGTCAGACTCTCCGGAGGGACACAAGTTACATTGCCAAGCAATCGAATGGAATCCTCAACGCAAAAGGAAACGTGGCCGCCCAGAAGAAGAGAGCCAAAGAGAGAGAGACCTGCCAACGAAACAATGCAGAGGCGAAGGTAGCTGGGATGACGTGGATGGAGCTGCCCAGGACCGATCAAGCTGGTTTTCTAGGCTGGATGCCCAAGTGTGGCAGAGGGCATCCAGCACTGTAAGTTTAACTAGACATTTCCTGATAACAGCGCAATGCCCATGCGCAAATTACCAGTAAAACAGCGTTTAAATAAAACACCAATAATGATTTCTTATTTATTCAGTATTTGTATTGCAGCGTTTGGATTTGCGTGACAATAGTTTTACCCGGCGTTGTCTGCTTTTTGAACAAATTCTGATACTTTACCGAAATATCTTCGGTGACGGTTATTTTCCGCGCCGTTATGTTTGCCCTGCTCGTGGAAGTCTCCTGCTGAGTCACGGTTATGACAGGCTCATAATGGTCATCGCTTTCACCAACTCGTATGATCTGCTCGCCTGGTACATTCGACTCAATTGGGTCGTCCATTCTGAAAGGTCGATTTTTCAAAGTTTATTAAAAAATAAACAGAATTTTCGAAGGACCAAGGGGAAGAAGAGAAGAGCGTCCTAAACAATGGTAAATGGAAGAAATAGAAGCGTTAGCAGGAACAGAATGGACTAATAAAGCCATGCCATTGAAGAGTTACTTGGAAAAAACTGAAGAAGGTTTTACTCGTGAAGGGGTTTTGATCAATGATACTGAATAAAGTCTGTAACAAATCTAAGCTGTATATTGGAAATTAACGGGCTTTATTATTATTAAACGGAATCCCGAGTTTAAAGTTCAAATAAAATTTGAGCTGGGAGAGAATTCCAGGTCTTAATGCTGGAGCTTGGGTCAAAATGCTATCTCTAAATAAAGATTATTAGATTTGTTTTTTCACATTACATAATATTAAGGAATTAAAATTCGCTTTATATAAGTGAAAGCTGAAAGCTGTAATGAGGGCACTTCCAAGAAAAAGCATCATGAGAAAACCACAAAAGCGATGGGCTGACGACATAGTTAAGAAGTTAAGAACAGATCCAAATGGAAAGTTCAGGAAAAGGCTTTTACCGAAATAGGTCCAGAACACAAACGGAAGTAACAATAACTAAGGTAGAAGATTTTTTAAGAATTGGTACGCTCTTTTTTCGAAGGACCCTAAGTCGAATTGGTTCGGAAATACTGCAGTGGGCAGCTGGTTCCACATAGTGCTGATGCGCGGCAAAAACTGCTTAAAAACGCTCAGTTGTGGAACGAACGTCGAGGTGATACAGGTGGAATTTCGTATTCTGCCTCGACGTCTGATGATGATCAGCTGCAGATATTGATCCGAACAACAGCAACTTTATAGGTTATATGAAAAATAATTACCTGGTAATGAAGAACTTCAGTAAACGACTGTGTCCGATGTCGTCCATAAAAAATTATCTGATAATGTTATTGATAAGTTAATCTTTGAAACGTTGATAATTATTTGCAACTTGGTAATACAAACATGTCTTGATAAAAAGGAAATCCACTGCTTTGATCGTTCTGTGAAAATTTGTTTATTACAGAAATACATACATTATTTTTATATACTATGCCAATACGACAAAATCGAGAAAAAAAACTAATATATAAAATTCTCGTGACACAATATTCGTTCCCATACTCCTCCGAAACGGCTCGACCAATTCTTATGAATTTTTTTATGCATATTCAGTAAGTCTGATCGGCTACTATCTAAATTTTAAACCCCTAAATGTTAAGGGTGGGTCCACCCCAATTTTTTTATTTTTTTACATAATTTTTTTTGTTTTTATTTTTTACAAAAAACCCTTAATTTTAACCCCTCTACGATCAACCCCTATTTTTTATTCGTTAATAAAATACTTATGACTTGAACTCTGAGGCTTATATAGCGAAAAATTCACAGAAAAACCTCAAAGTTTTCATTCCAGAAAACTGAACAGTCTCTGGAGCAAAATTTTCCATGTTGGTATGTACTAAAAAGGTAGGCTAAGTAAAATCACATTAGGAGAAACGAAATTCGCGGGGTAAGCTAGTAAAATATATAATATTAAACGCATCATCTGAAAGGCCGGCCAACGCACTTGCGTTTCTTCCAGTAACGTGTGTCCATGAGCCGCGGAACAAAACATCTTAACATCAGATGACCCTTCTGCCCGTTTTATTACGTAAAAAAAACATAATATACACAATATCGCTACTGTCGCTACTCTGCGAACATATAGAGATGTCGATAGTTGGAGACAGTGCAACAGACTGGTTCTGGCCCTTGATAACTTGGCTATTGCCGTCGCACATATCCCATAGGTACAAAGAAACCGAGTTCTTGGAGTACACTAGGATTGACCACCACCCTCCCCGCAAGACTTTTAATACATAGTAGACCAACTGTAAGTTCCGTCTGGTTTTCAAAATGTATTTATTTATTTATTTTGTTATTAAGCTTACGACATCACACACAGTACTAAATCTACTAATTATTTTACAAAATCTTACATCTAAAATGTGTGACAATTAAAGTAAATAAGTTAAACATAAGAAATAAAAATAAAATTGTGTATTAACTCTGTATTAATTTTTCTTATAATTTAGGTGGCCAAACCACAGAAAAAAGGTAACTTTGGAACATGCGTTGTCGGAGGAGGAGTATACTCTTTCTTTAAACAATTGGAGGTCGTATCTCCCAGGGAAGAGTCTACTGAAGTCTTGTGAAGGAAGACTTCCATCAAGGTGATGTTGAAGAATTTTTTAATTTATACTTCAGAACAAATGATTGGTGAAATAGGGCGCATTTTGTGTGATTTTATATGAATTGTTTTTAAAAAACTTTAAAACTATGTATGAAATTTGATCATTCCCAGGGCCTGATTAACCCTTAGGATAATTAGGCTGCAGCCTAGGGCGCGACGATCAGTGCTTGTAAAGTTTCAAATCGTTAGTACACAGCTACAAACAAGTTCTGTTGATTTATCTGACGTTGTTACTCTTTATGAGACATTGCTTATCTTGATACGTTGCGTGGCGAAAAAGAGTTTAAAAATTTTGAATCAGAGGCAATCAAGAGATGCGAAGTGACCACATACAAAAAAGATGTAAGAAGAATAAAGAAACCGAAATTTCATTTTGATTAAGTTGAGACGGAGCACATTGAGTTAGAAGATCGATCGATCGATTTGTTGCAGATCGATCTGTAAACTTTTATAGAACCATGTTACAATTTTCACACTAGTAAACAAAGTCAAAACTAATATACTACTTTTTAGACCGACCGTAACACACCTATCACCATGGCAGGGGCGCTTCCTGATAAATAGCCTAGAGCGGTCAGAACTCTTGATCAGTCTTTAATCATTCCGCAGAATTCTTTAAAAAGGGACTTAATCGATTAAAACGGTCCTGGATAATTTGACGTGTAAAGTGAATGCCTAAATAGCTGCATTATTAGGGAACATAAAAGGATAGATTTTTGAAGTTATACTTCGTTAGGCGCGTTATGAAAAATTTATGAGAGTGAAATTTTACGATGCACGCGCACCGACACAAAGTTATCAGTATGGGCGCCGAGCGTGCGCGAGCGAGATGGGAATAAGACAATCTACAAGTAAAAAGAAATAGAATATGCGTGACGTTAGCAGTTATGCCAAGAATTTTGAATGACCATAATGACATTTGTAGTACCTTTTAACAAATAAAGGAGTTTTAATCATTTTTTCAAAGAAATTTAGCAATGCTTTTTCACAAAGACCTATTGTTACTTAGTTAAAAGGTTATGAAACATACCTAGTTATTAAATTGAATTAATAATACAATAACATAATAATTATTATTAATATTAATTAATAATTGAATAATATACTAAATATTAAATAGTAGTATAGTATAGTAGCTATGTAGATTCCTGCAAGTACTTTGGTATTGAATCATTAGAATGTCGACGTAAACAATACGACCTTATGTTTTTACACGCTATTTGCAATTGTTAATTTGACTGTCCAGACTTATTGTCGCTTTTACTTTTTCACGCCCCTTCTTCATACAATACAAGGCAAACCCAACTATTTAAAATTCCTCGGTCCAATACAAACTATTTACGTAACTCAGTCATTCAGATTATAACACAAATTACCAGCAAATAGATATATTTAATGTAACTAAAAAATGTTTAAAAAATAATTTAAAAATTCTTCCTTTGTATTAAATATATATTATAATGAACAATGAATCTTAGAACTTAGAATTTATTATAAATACATGTATTATCTGTATATTTTTTGTATTTGTATAGGTGAAACTGTGCTTTGTGTATGTTTAAATGTGTATTCTATTTTTGGCTTTTGTGTACAGTGTAATTGTTTGAATATTGTTCAGTAAGTAGCTGTAGGAATACTGTTAAGTAATTAAATAAATAAATAATAGATACACACGAGGCCTGCAAGGCCTGCAACGCACTTGCGAGCCTACTGGCAATGAGTGTTCATATCACTTAACATCAGATGAGCCTTCTGCCCATTCGTGTATTTTTTACATAATTGTTGTTGGCTGAAGCATAGGACTCTCGCGGCCGTGCATTCAAATTTGTCGTTGAATATTTGGAAACTGGCTTGTCTCAGACCCGAAACCCGACGTCAAACACGGTTGATCACGTACATTTCACACATGGAATTATGTACATGTTACCTCGAAAGCAAGATGAAATCAAAAGTAATAAACGCTCTTGCAGCACTTTTGTGTTTGGCTTTCCAAATGTGTTTTGCTTCTTTAAGCAAGAACCCAAAGCCCTATTTGACGCACGAAAACTTTAATTCATCAGACTTTTTTCAAATCTATTCAACCTGATAGAAAGCCCAGAGATCCAGTCACAGCCTTGCGATTCTGTAACTCACTTTTCGTGAAGCAGTCATTTTACGATTTGGCATTCTGATAAACAATAAACTACAAGCTCCCTCCTTATCAGAATGCCAAATCGTAAAATGACTGCTTCACGACTGATTTGAGTGCGACCGCCGCTGTGAAAACCGCAGTGAGAGTTCGAAAAGTGAGTTACAGAATCGCAAGGCAGATATTAAAGCAATAAAATAAACCCCTGGCGGAGAAATTTACAAACTGAAATTTTCAGAGCCTTGGACAAATTTACCACAGTAAAGTTGGGTGCCTAGTAAGACTCGACAAAGAGGGACTTAAAATAACAAAGTCTGAAGAGTTCTCTTCCAAACAACAAAAGTTAACACGATAATATTCCTTTTAAAGACTGATTTTAATTTCAAAGGTTTGAACTAACTTTTTTTTTTTTTAGGCTTTGACACGATTTGTGCATTAGCCAGCGTCAAGTATAGGATTTTTTATAATTCGTGCTTGTCTTTAGAAATTCGACCGTGTCCTCCATGTACGGTTTAAGCACTCGCCCGGTACCGCACAACCCTCTTAATGGTAGGGGAGCCCACGATGCTAAATGGGGATTTACTCGAGCGTCGTAGAGACCTATTGGGATGCAAAGCTTAGATAATAAGAAGAAAAAAATGTTATATGATATATACCTTTTCATCGGTGGGGGAAGCGGCTATAGATTGTTAAATATGTAAAAAAAAACTGTTGCATGGACATCCTCGAGCGCGTCAGATATTGATAGCATCAATGCCCTACGTATTTTTAATAATGTACGTATGTTAATCTGATCGTTTGCATGATGCGGGTGGTTGTATTTAAGGGTCGAAAATGAAAAAAAAAAAAAATTATCGAGCGCGTCAGATTTTCTAAGGGAGTGTTAAGTGCACCAAAAAAAAGCTCTCATTCACTAATCTGACGATTTCGATGGGACGCAAACCCACGGCCATTTTCATAATTTGCAAAAAAAAATCGCAATTTTGAAATACTCAAGCGCGTCAGATTAAGATAAATGTGGTTCATCTTTATGTTCTAAACGTACTGTCTCATAATCTGACGATTATCTAGAGGGATTCGCCTGATCTGACAAAAAAAAATTAGAAAAACGGTTCACCTAAAGGGCCGTCCCTGCAAGTTCCCGCTAATTCCATTCCTGGGCGCTTAAAATTGATATTTTGAGCTCGCTGAGTTCAAAGAAATAACATTTCTATGCATTTGAGCTCTCCCAGCTCGAAAGTCTGATAGAAGTTTCATAGAACACTATTTTTGGAATTTTCAAACCGCAATAACTTTTGAATGGATCAAGCAATTTTCACGCGGTTGGCGGCATTCGACGCAGTTTTATCATCCTCATAAGTAATTTTAATTGATCGAACCACAAATTTCGGAGTAATCCCGAAAAAACACTTTTTCGGGTTTCTTTCGTTCACGATATCTATCGAACGAATCAACCGATTTTGACCAGCTTGGTGGCGATCGACGTGGTTTTTCAAGCTCAAAGGTGGATTAGTTTTTGAAGTTGATC